AAATGGGAGAATGAGTTCACAGTTTTACTTGTTTTTATGAAAGGGACTAAATATTTATTTGTGCAACTAGTGAGCAAAGGGAGCAATTGACTCACTCGAGAGAAATACTTACTCATGAGCCGTAGGCGAGTGAGGAATGGTTTCTCGAGTGAGGCAATTGCACTTTGCACTCAAGTTGCACATTATATTTTTCCTACAGTTACCATAAAACAAATAAATTGGTAAAGAAACGTGACATATTTTTACACAGAAGTGAACTTTTAATATTACATGATACAACAGTACAACAGCTGACCAGCTAATTTACAGCCAGTGCTGCCAACGTATTTCGCCCACATATGACCTTGTCTGCATGTTACGCGCTCACTATTTCGTGCCTTCACGTTGCAAATCTGGAGTGAGTGAGACAAAATAATTAGAGTGAGACAATGTTAACATTGTCTCACCGATGAGTGAATTGGCCACTTTGCTTTCTCAAATCAGTGAGAGAACATGTACATTGTTAGGTAACTGTAGGAAAAATTATATTCCTCTCAATTTTAACTAAATTAGTGAGATCTGAACTTGATATTTCCTCCGAGACTCAAAACTATAATGTATTGCCATATTTTGTGGGTTATGGTATTTTTGACCATCTAACCAAATTATTACCTACATTATGTTGATTTTATACTTTTATGAAGAAAACACTTACATAACTGCCCCTGGGTTAAAAATATCCAGTAAAAAAACTGATGAAAAATCTCACAATTTTTATAGTTTCAAAGAGGCTTAGGTTTTCACTCATTTTAGTTTACCATATGTATTTATTAAAGGTTTTTTTAATTACAGAAGTTGATAGTAGGAAAATTTTAACTCATTAACACTACTAAAACTTATAATTAAATATCTCAAGACCGTCGTCAGAAATTATACAGAAAAACTTAAATTATCTTCTTAAGTTACCAAATTTTAACAGTCGGCCAAAGATTTAGGAAATTCTTCAAAACATTTATTATTTAATATTTTAAATTGATTTTAGTACACAAATAAATCACCCGAGGCCGAGAGTAACCTGAATTGAACAAACTCTTCATCAATTAAATCCTATTTCACTTTAAATTAGAAATATTTTACCAATTCAAGAGGTGATATAAAAATATAGCGATGAAAACAAAAGAATTTTCTCCTTAGATATTTTTGTTTGTACCTCAGCAAAATTATGTACATGTAAATAACCCAAGAGAAGATTTGCCAGGTGTAATGGGAAAGGAAATTGCAAGGTAAATCAGCTTGACTGGTAAAATAATGAACATCAGATGAGAACTGACACTCGTAGCATTTGAAATGTTTCCCTGTGCTTTGACGTCCCACCTTTCCAATGATTCATTCGCATCAGTGCGTTATGTAAATTAGAACCGTGATGTTTACTGTGTTTTGACATATTGGACACAAACACCATGAGGATAAATGAGTTTGTTACCCGGCCTTTGTTGTTTTGAAATTAATATTGTTGGTTATTTCCAATTGTCCTTGCAGCACTACTTTTAAATCAGTTAACTACACATCAAGGATTGTTGAAGCGAGGGTTCACTGTATACAATTAATGAGTTAAAATTCAGTACACTAAAATTACCTTAATGTCACTGAAAGCCTTGCCTCTACTCCAATTGCTTGCCATAGTTTGGTATCCTTCGTCTTCAAACGTGTTGATACTGCTTCTATTAATTAAAATAATCAAAAGCGTTTTGGGACATTCGATAACATAAAAAAAAACTTGTCTGAATACTTTTGTAGTTTAGTATGCAATTTGTGGAACATCCCTTCGGACTTTCTGTTGCCTAATATTGGATAGATTCACCATTTTCGGAAAAAATAACATCAAAATATTCTAGCACCAAAATAGTTAATGAGGGGGTAAGAAACTTAAATTGGGGTTTAAAACTTAATTCGATAAAGTAATACCAGAAATGTTTTTGGCAAATTTAATTTAAGTTATTACGAATCTAACATTGAATACAGTTTTTCTTCTTTTTTTTTTTATTAGGCTGTTTAGTTGGTTTCTCAACGTTTTAGTTAGGAAGGAATCTTGACCTTAAAGCCTCTAAATTACATTTATCGCTTGGTTAAGTGGAGGGAGGCAATTGAAATGAACTTTTTAGTGTGGTACAAATTAGTGAGCACTACCAGTTTCTACCATTACTGCTTAAGAGCACTTTGCCCAATTGTGGGACATTATTTATTTATTTACAGTTTCAAATGTATCACTCGGTTTCGCTTTCTTTCGGTTTCCAAGTTAGCCTTTTAGTAGTGAACTGAGTTGTTTGTAACATTTTAAACATTTTAATAAAAACTTTCTTTTCTCGTCTGTGAGTGTTGAACATTCCATAGTTTGTTATGGATAATTAAAAAAAGGTTTAAAAAAAGTTAACCTTTCTTTATACCATCTTTTGTTTATTTACCGTCTTGTGAGTAACTGTATAAGCGTAAATATATGTTTTAAGTGTTATAAGACGTATCTTTATTTACTTTCCGTAAATTTAATAACACGTACAATACTGATCAAGAAGTTATTTTTAAAAAAAAGTTGTCCATAAAATGCTGATAAGTGTTCATGGCAATAGCCTTATTTGTAATACAATAGTAATTTTAGTAAGTTAAGTATGGTTTTATATAGTTGCTGAAGAAGATAATAATGAATGTCAAATTAGTTCATATTTTGGTGGCAAATACTATTTTTTCTTTGTTTATACAGTAGAACCTTGATAACAAGACTCTCAAGGGGATTAAATGAATCTTGTTATCAAGTTTGACTCCTTGAGGTTTGCAATAACATGTGATTTGGGGTAAAATAAATTTAAGGGAATATGAAAATGACACTTTTTATCAAGGATGAATTGTTTTCGAGGGTCTTCCTATCGAGGTTCCACTGATAAATTAGCATCTATTATATTATTAAAAAGATACAATCAATTTTTATGTAAACGGTTAAGGCCATTTACCAAATAAAAATATAGGCATATGGCACATCAAAATGAAGCTTAGAGTGTGTAGATTTGCCGAAAAGTATTGATATGGACGAACTTCCTAAGGGCTCTGCCCCACAGGCTGATTTCCAAAGGGCTACGCCTGGCATGCTTCCAAAGTTTACATGATTTGATTTAATTTAGTTAATGAAACAGCTGGTCAGTTATGGTACAATGAAGTGGTGTTTGTTTATGTACTCGAAAAAGATGTTGGTGACGCTTTACGTAGACTTAGGAGGGTTATGTTTGGTTTTAAAGAAAGGTTGTATACGTTTAACGTTTTGTAAAGTATTGCTCAAAGTTTCATTTATATAGTAATTTATATAGTAAGCTACATGTAAAGAGAATTGACTAAAGTTGGAGAATAAATTATGGTAAAACATGTCATTCGTGAAGCATCAATATGAAGCAATTTGTGTTATTGCTACACTAAGGTATGTTGTCATATTCTTTTGGATCTATTAACATAAAAAATAGGGGTTTAAAAGTAAGTAGGTTTACACTTTTAAATCAGTTTATATTTTCAAATTAAATCATAGAGTGTTCGTGTTTTAAAACACACATCAGAATTACTTTAATAGCTCTCTAGGTCACATTTTCTTCCCGTTGCACGGGTATAGCAGCTTGTTATATTATTAAAGTGATACAATCAAATTTTATGTAAACGGTTAAGGTCATTTACCAAATAAAAATATAGGCATATGGCATATCAAAATGAAGGTTAGAAAGTGTATATTTACCAAAAAGTATTGATATGGACAAACTCCCTTAGGGCTGTGCCCGAACAACAGCTGGCCAATGCAATTGACAATATAGTTTTCCTACAGTTACCTAAAAATGTACATGTTCTCTCACTGATTTGAGAAAGCAAAGTGGCCAATTCGCTCACCAGTGAGACAATGTTAACATTGTCTCACTCTAATTACTTTGTCTCACTCCAGATTTGCAACGTGAAGGCACGAAATAGTGAGCGCGTAACATGCAGGCAACGTCGTATGCGCGCGAAATATGTTGGCAGCACTGGCTGTAAATCAGCTGGTCAGCTGTTGTACTGTTGTATTTGTCACTTCACATTAAATGTTATATTAAAAGTTCACTTCACTTCTGTGTAAAAATAGGTTATGTTTCTTCATGTTTCTTCACAAATGTTTTTGTTTTATGGTAACTGTAGGAAAAGTATAATGTGCAACTCGAGTTCAAAGTACAATTGCCTCACTCGAGAAACCATTCCTCACTCGCCTATGGCTCGTGAGTAAGGATTTCTCTCGAGTGAGTCAATTGCTCACTTTTCTCACTAGTTGCACAAATAACTATTGTTTGTTTACATTTTTGTTTACTTATTTTATTATTTACTTTTATGTTCTTAAAAGAAGTGCGGTGAATGGACAGTGAAGCTATTTCTAGCTGTTTGATACAAGTGAGTGATTAAAGGTGTCCGATACACAATGAATATGAGATTAACAAACCATGTATGTTGTTCGTTCCAAGAGGTTGTCACCGATCTTTAATAGGTCACCATTTCATTTAAAGTAAAGTATTAAAGACGTCGTGAAAGAGAGAAGCGAGTTCAGGTACAACCGTACCCACCTTGGCCACCTCAGGACATAAGGTATGAAGGTTCCACTGCTTTTAACATCCTTTCAGATGACAATTTTTTGGAACTTAGGCCCTTTACATGAAATATAAAGTCAAAGTTGATTAAATTAATTTAATGGTGGCTTCTGTACACCCGTGAATTCGCAGGTAGAACCTCTTGTATAGATGTAATTCCTTTTTTTTGCAAACCGGTTGTAGATAACTCCAATGGAGTATTTCCATAAGTAGGCCTACATATATTCTTCATTTTCACACAATTAATCCTCTAAAACAACACACTACCTAACTGAATGTTTCCATTGGATCGGCTTAGCCCAGTTTCCAGTTGATGTGAATTTCTAATTCAGTTCGTACTGATCATGCTGTTTGAAACTAAAATGAAATAATACAATGGCAGAATAAGATTTGTATTAAATACTTTATTTGTTTATTTACAAAATAATTTATAATATAACAAAGAGTTGAAGGTCGGTATTGCTGCCGGACTAGTGGGGAGTGACGTGACAAACTTAGTTACAAAAATACACTGATCTGTACAACTGTACACGGTGCTAACCACCAACGGCTCCTGAAAAATATATAAAAACAATACAAATTGTAGTTCAAAGCAGTAAATTAACTACATAAGTCTACAGTAGAACTCCAAATGAGACCATAACACATTCGGATAATCAAAATTATTGTCCGATTTGATGATAATCAAAACGGATTATTGGATTTTTGCAAAATTCAAGGTAGACTCAATTCAATTGCACAATTCAATTTGGTTGTAGCTCATTAATTCTAATGAGTTTATGTAGATTATGCTGTTGGCCGTCAAGATCATACAGGGTGACTGCCGGGAACCGGACGTTTTCTAACTGAATAGTACAACCTTATTTTATATAGTAAAATTATTTAATTGTTGAATATATATTGGTGAAAACATACCATTTCAAAAAACATATGTTTTATGGGACCTTTTATCCTAGTTTGGGTTTATTTCTTAAAGATGATATCATGCATGTGATGGCCGTTAACCTGGATAAAGGTTTCCAACCTCTGGAGAAAATCATTACGCACTCTCATCAACTCCAATTGTCCAATCAAATTCACCTCTTTGGTGATTGAATCTTTTAGCTGCAATAATGTTTGTGGTTTGTGAACATAGACACGAGCTTTAAAATACCCCCATAAGAAATAGTCTCAGGGTGACAAATCTGGTGACCTCGGCGGCCACGGCACGTCACCAAAACGTGAAATCAACTTGCCAGGGAACATCTTCTTCACAACTTGCATCGATGCACTCGCTTTCAGTTGCTGTACCACCTGTATTTTGTAGGGATGAAATTTCAATTCTGATTTTATAATTATTCTGACAGAATCGCGCTTCATGCGTAGCTCTTGTGCGTGTCTTCGTGCAGAGCGACCCGGGCTCCTCATCAAAGCAGTTCTCACTGTGGCGATGTTGTCTGATGTTCTCACTGTTCTTGCTGGACCGGGTGGCTTTTTCTTTGATACTGTTCCTGTTGTTCTGAACTTGTGCACCCATCTTAGCAATGTATTTCGGCTTGGAACCGTGTCATTTCGCGCAATATTAAAGTGGCGTCGGAAGATACGCTGTGTTTTGATAACGGATTTGCCATTTTTAATAAATGTGTCATATGCAAAAACACGAAGCTGAACTGACCACTGATCCATCGTGACTAAAATGGTAAAGCTCACTCAAAACAATGACATAACCTCAATCTCCCTAGCACGTGTAGCAACAATGTAACAGCTGTTGCAAATTCGTCCGGTTCCCGGCAGTCACCCTGTAGAAAAGAAAATAACAAAATTGATCTAAATACCTGTTTCTGTGTACTCCAATTATTTCTTATTGTCGCAATTACTTTAGACTTGTCAAGAGGTCATCCTCAGGCTTTGGAGGATGTCATGATTTCTTCAAAAACACATTAAAATGATTTAAAAGACAGTAACGATCTTATCTGGGAATGATTCGACACAACCTGGTGGATGTAGAGACAAGACTCCCCGTCAATGTGTTTGGCTGCTGAGACACCACTTTCTTTGTCGTGTTATCAGTCAACTGTGTGCTGCATTCATTCCCAACTCTCTCTCTCAAGTACATTGATAGCCATGTCATAAAAATATTTTAATTAAAAAGTTTGCAATTAATAATAGTTTGTTTGTAGAATTTTACAATCACTCTCCAATATCAGTGTTACTGTCTTCTGATTGCTTTAGTATACTGTTTTAATGCAACAAACAGAAGACAGCCGGTCAGTTGGTTATGTACTGTATGTGAATTGACGAGTTCGGAATGAAGAAATTGACATCTTACAATACTTAAAGATGATTTCCTGACGAGTCTAAACTAGTTGCGGCAATAAGCAACAATTGGATTACGCAGACGCAGGTACTTAAGCCAATTTTATAATTCAACATACAGCTAACGAAACAAAATTATAAATCTGGATTTTATAAGCAAAATATTTACAACTATTGATTAATTTGACTAGAATCAACTCTGTTATCTTTATGTCTACTTCAAAGACTCACCACTAGAGTGCAGGACCTGAGTCGTCTCTGTCTCTAGATTCTGACTCTGAGAACTCGTGTTGTTCCTCAAACCTGTGCCTGTTCTCTAATGTGGAGGCAATCATCCTCAATGTGTCCACTCCACTCAGCATTTGTCTGGATACAGAATAAGTATTAAAAAATAGAATCTTGAATAATTAAGAAAGAACTAAGAAACTTTAAATCATTAAGTGTAACAGAGCAGATCAACAGCATTTGCTCACAAAGTCCACTTCAAAATTGTATACCTCCAGGAGGCATGTCATGATGAGAATCCAATTATATTGTGAGAATTGATTGCTTTTGAGTTAATCATCCCAGTTGCTCAAATATCGTGTTCATACTTAACACTAAATTGTATCGTTCATCATTCATCACTTCGCTAAAACAACAACGTAGCTTACTCTGGCTAACCTTACTTGGAGTTGGAAACCATTTGATTCAGGAGAGCACTACTCAGCTATTATTATTTATCTACTATATATTATCCAGATCCAATCTAAACTCTTATGCCATTTGTTATTATCCTATGATTTCACAACGGTATCTAATAAAAAACATTGCTGATACTGATGATAACCGTGATCTATTGGGCAAAACACTCATCATCAGATCTATTGTGTCCCCTAAACCTGTGTTCAGCCTTTGCCTAGAGTAACCCACTCACAGCCTAATGAAATGTAGAATTTAAGGGTGTAGCATAGAGCACAAGGGCCTAGGTTTTTAGGATTTTTTGAGAGGATAGCAGGCTTGCCTGAATGGGAAAGAGTCCAAACTGACTCAGGAAACACAAAACTTTACACAAAACATTAGAATATTTCACTGTCAGTGATAGTGAAATATTCTAATGCTTTGTTAATATAGTTGTAAAGTGTTGCGTTTCCTGTGCCAGTTTGGACTCTTTCCCATTCAGGTGAGCCTTCTATCCTCTCAAAAAATTCTAGAAATGTAGAATTTGGTGTAGTTCTGAAAGGGAAAGCCCTCAAACTCCTAAGCTCCTGGCTCTGTTCGCCAAACTGCCTCGCATTCAGCCTAAAGGTGTCTAGGAGTTAGACAAACAAAAACACCCCACATGGACCAAGGGTGCAAATGTATAAATTTGGTAATTTCTACTGACCTGAGGGAGAGCTCAGCACTAGTGACGGCTGTCCTAAGCTCAGCCGCAAGTCTGTGATCACTCGTCCTGTCTGCGGCTGGTCCATGAGCTCCTCTAATGTTACCACTAAGCTCCATCTGCACAACACAACACTCTGGACTTACACAGCTTCCAAGATTAGGAAAGAATTAAAATTCACACGTCTTCATGTTATTTCATGTAAAATATTGTGCGAGAAGTAAATATTGATAATGTTTCACTACTCATAGAAACAGTGGTGGTTCTAGGGCCTTGTAAAGGGGGGAGCTACCGAAGGGTATGTGGGGGTCCTCCTCCAGAAGGTTTTGTATTTTTCAAGCAGATAGTGACTTTCTAAAGCCATTTGAACGTCTAGAACTTAGTCCAAAAACCTCCGTTACGTTTTTAGGACATAATATTGTATGTGCAAATTTATTTTCCAATGTCCAAGGGGGGGTTTGCCCCTGTAACCCCCCCCCCCCCCCCGCCACCTAAAACTACCACTGGATAGAAGCTGTGCGTCAGACTACCTTCTGCCATTATTGTTAAGGGTGTTCAAAACATGCATTTTTCAGGAAATTTGTATTCCTGTTTTTGAACGGTGTTAAATCATTTCAGGAATTTTTAGGAAAGGGACATTGCAATTTGCTAGCGGTTGCAGAGGAAGTCAAATTCAAAATCAAATTCTTTATTAACTCATAACATCTTTTGGAGTACAATGTTCATAGATAGGAGTTTTGTCAATATTTATAAGACTAATACTAAACTGTTATCTATATATTAATACGCAAGCAGTTTTCTTTTCACAGTCATAGCTGAATAACGGCTTGATGGATTTTAAAGTTTGAGGTGTCAAATTAAAGGTATTTTTACGTAGATGTGCAAATACGTCCCAGAATATTAAGAAAGGGCACCACTTAAGTAGACTTAAGGGCTAAAGTTTGGAAGGCGGCGCTATCTGATGACATTTGATCAAACTCATTTCCCTTTATTTACAAATAACATATGGACGTAGTTTGAAATATTGTTTAAGGTTAACCACAGACTGCAGGACTTAAAACTTCCAGAGCAAAGCTGGAATTTATATTTTATTTCAATCTGTTAACTAAGTCTGGTTCATAATGAAGAGTTTCCTATCAATACTAGACAGCAAAGTGTTTAAGAATAAATATTTAATTCTTTTTGTCTATGGTTAAATTGATTTACCTTACATTGTATTTTACTGATTATCATGTAGTTACAGTTCGATGTGATAAAGTGGATGTTTAAAAGTGATTATTCACAGGGCAGTTATCCGTTACATTACCGGGTATCAAAATTCCAATTCCTTTATAGTGTTTTCTGTTGTTTGGTTAACTTTTTTATTTCATTTCAATTTAAAATCAAATGCCGCCAGTACGACGAAGAACTGTGAGTGGCTTGAGGGAACGCGAACATGACCGCTTGCATCAACCTCTCAATTGAACATTTGATGGGTACATAGTGGTAGTACCACCGTTGTTTTAGTCCAATCTCGGATAAATGAACGTTAAATGTTTACATTGTAGTGGCTTACATATTTTTAAGCAATAAAAGACTGGCCGAGACGGTTAAGTTTGTACTCTTTGTTGCCATAAATGAAAGGTTCGTTTACCTCATTTGTACAATTCACCACAATAAACTTCGGGTTCTTATTGGAAACTCCCAATCTGAAAATAGGACTGTGAGACTTATATCCAGAAATAATTTGGATAAAGTTCGTCAATTTAGTTCTGCCTTTACCATGGTCAGCTCCAAAGCTCATTAAGATAAGAAAGTTCCACAGGGGATCTACAATTTTAAGATCCGTGACACGTTTTACCACCGAGTGGGTCCTCTAATTCCTCAATAAGGTGATGATCCTGAATACGCACAGATATATAAGTAAGTACGACAATGTCACTTGAACCCAAAGGAGAACTAAGCACAATAAAAAAATTCAATTAAAAAATATGCGGGAAATAGGGTCACAATGCCAACCCATTTGCCAAATCTTTGAAGACTGTGGCAGCCGTTATGTAGGGACGAGAGCTCCGAGGAGTCAAGTGAGATTCTTATGTACATAATAAGAGACAGAAGAAGTGTCTTCCCTCGCTACAATGGTGCTTACCTGTGTAGATTTCGCAGAAATTTTTAAAACTGAAAACAAAGCACCACCTGGCCAAACAAATCGTATAGTTATTTCCAGCACTAATAATGTTAAACGCGTATCCATTGTAGATCTGTCGTTAGATCCACTTGCTTACCCTCTTATGTTCCCAACCGGAGACTTGGGTTGGGGCCCCTAATTTAAATACGCCTAAAACAGAACACACCAAAGAAATAATTTAACAATGCTAGAATAAAAGTAGTGATGGTTGGCGTCAAGAGAGGAATTGAGCAACATTAGGCCAAAAGCTCACTTTACAGTGTGTGGTTGACATCTACGTGTTCATAGAGTGCACCCGCCTACTATACATAAGAGATAACCGAAGCAGTATGAGAGTGAATGTAAATTTAAATATCGTAGATTGCTTTTATATTTTTTTACATCATAATATTTTTATATTTATAATCAGTCATATAAATTATTTTAGAAAGACTCTTTGATTAAAGTCTTGCTGTTAATGTTTTTTGTTTATTTCTTTTATACAAGTTTCAGTTTTGATCGATTTCGAGCAACAGGTTATCTAGTATTTGATAAAACTAATTACAATTATTAAAACTTTAAAAATATAATAGTAATACTGAACAAAAAGAAAAAAGTTATCTGTAAATTCCTAAAACAAAGCTCAAACCACAAGACTAAATACCAGTCTGGTCTGCATCTGGACAGGATATAGGCTTTTGTCCTGTATTTAATTCTACTACAGCAATCTTTCTTAAACCGTGGCAGAACCTACCCTTTAAAGTCTGTGGAAATTGCTAAATAACTGTACGTTTATGATGACTAATCATGATAGCAGGACTTAATGTTGTCATGCACAATTCACAATCGACTTTTAAATGGTAATTTATTATGTTTCTCAACACAAATATTTTTATTATTTTGTACCGGGTACCCTCTAAATAACTTAAAGTTATGTGATCAAATTTACTATTTCTCTTATAATAATGTTCATTATTTGTGAACCCTTATTTTCACGTAGTGAATAGTACTACAAATGTATTTAATTAATGTCATCTACTTACCTATATGAACGACCTGGAGTACATACCGGTAATCAACAATATGTTTTCCTTTCAATTATTGCATCTAAACTTTTTATCCGTTAAAGGATTACAACAATTAAGTTACGTATTATTATATTTACTATGTTTTTCATTGAATTCAATTTTTTTTACACTGTGACCTAAAAGCACACTACCTGGTCACTTTTTTGCATAAGGTTTAATATTCCGAAATAATAAATAACTGGGGCTCTCCTGCAAATGAATGATTTACTCTCCTAGATACATCCTCAATCTGGAAGAATAAGTTGGGTAAGAAATAAAATCACTCACTGAGTTCAACATTTCCACTTAAACCCAACCTGCTCACGACCTTGACTTGGTAACATAGTATTCCAGTAACGACCAATCACTGACAGTATTTTACATCTCAGTTCTGCAGGTTATAATCCCTTAGATAAGAAGGAATTACAGTGCTAAATTCACCGTCAACATTGTAACATGATACTTGGGACTATCTCTACTCTAGTCAATTACATCATAAGGGACATAACATGCAGTGAAGGAAGGCCTAGTTGTGCTGTGGGAATCAGTAAATTAAACCCCTCATATCCGGCATATGTGGGACCAAGCCCCTGGCCGGATAAACCAACCTATTACTAAAACGATAGTTTGTATCTAATAACAACATGTGATTGGTTAAAAGTAGGCCTAGTGTTTAAGTCTCTTTTGGGAATCTACTAGCTCAACTGAGTAGTGAACCCGCTAAAAACTTATATGGGCCGGAGACAGATAAACCGTGAGAATGCTCAAATCATGGAGACTACGTGTACAACGGTGGAAAATATTTTTGGTGTCGATTTCGGGAAGTAACCAGATAGGCCTAAACAGAGGACCGAAAATTCCGAGGCTTGATATTAGGGGTTCTACTGAAGTGAGGTCTGTTTTATAAGTTTGATTTTATCCTGTTTGCTACTAGTTTAAATTGTATTTCTTTTGCACACTGCATATCATGCTTAGTTGTGTTAAACCGTCTAATGTTTTCTTAAAATGTTTCTTAAAATTTTAAACTTTTCCTGTGTTTATTTATCTCTCATTACAGGTATTCCAACAAACTAATCCAATAAAATATAAAAAAATATGTTAGACTTATATTTGTACAAATATGATCAAACACATTTTCAATATTATTAAAATAATGTAATTTATTTACATGAGATATAATAACCTATCATGAAATGAGTTTTTAATTTATTAGAATAAACATTAACAGCCACATTAACAATAGAAAATACAGTGCATGCCTGTAAAGAAGTGATGAGATTCAAGACCGAGAATATTAGAGGAGTTCACTTCTAAAAGGTACAGTAAATAGCAAAGTAAGCAACTAGAAAAGTAGCAAACTGTAGCCAAAAATAATAAAAGAAAAAGCTAACCTAAATTTATAAAGTGTAGCCAACTTACAGTAAGAAGTTTGACTTCTTGTTTCAGCTTCGCAGCCTTCATTTCTGCTGTTTCTGCTCTTCTCTGAAAAAAAAAAACATTCCTACTATTATTTCTCAATAAATTTGTAAAGAAAAGGAAAGAATAAACTACTATCTCGCTTGATTAAAATTATGACTGTCTATTCCCTGCCTACACAGTTTCTTATAAAAAAATGAAAATTAGATAATCCCTTTAAATTTAGTTTTGAATTATCCATCTAAGGTCCTGGGCTACCGCATCCATTTTGGGAAGTCTGTGGCTAAAAGGAACTGAGTAGCCTATATCACATTTCATACTGTAAAAATTTACCTATTAATTTTTAACACAATGGCCATACTTAGATTGATTAGTAAATCTACACTTTAAAATATCATCTCTTATTGAATATTTTGAATAATTTTTAATATTTTGAAGAATAAAATAGATAAGTTACTGGTAGCAATTGAGAAACAAAAATTAGTAGGTATTCACTTCCTTAATCTCCACAGGAATCAAAATCCTGGGGGACAGAGACTTAAATATCAGAAGTAAGCTATGGTAATCCTCATTACATGCACATTATTTATATGATATATTGAGAATTTTGACAATTAATTACTAAACAAAAAAGTATTATTATTACAATAAGATATTGTACGGCAAATGCAAGGTGGGTTTTTGAAACTTACTGTGGTTCTTAAGAGATTTTCCTCCGCCTGTCTAACCATATTTTCTAAACTCGCAGTGTCTTCCCGATCTCTACTTCGCAAGGCTCGTAGTTCAGCATCTAAAGATTCATTTCTGAAAGAGTTTGAAAATGTATTAACTGGTCAAGTATATGTTTACATAGGTAAAAATAGTTAGCTGGTTTGCAAGAACCATTGTAATTAAAGTCGGGACCACGAAAGTTTGCAGTTGAGGGAGGAGCCTATTTACCATGTGACTTCAAAGGAGCCAATGAGGACAGTGCGATGTTGCCAAATCTTATAATTCCAGCTGATTTGAAAATATTGTTTAGTATTTTAATAAGTGTCGTCAACGGGCGATATAGCAACGTCGCACTAGCCTTGTCTAGTGATTGGCTGCCACCAACTGCAAACTTTCATGGTCCCGACTACTATGAAAGTATGTGTATGTACGTATGAAGTATGTGTAAGTTTATTATGATTATGTTTGCATGACACTAAAATATCAGACGAGTATTTTTTGGTAGTCCAAACTAAAGAAAGATATTTGAAGAATGAGTGTTGAATGATTAAGGCCCATTTTATACTCTGTAGCCCTGTACATGCATTGAGCTAAATGGGAGCTTTTATAACCTGCACACCGCTGTGGCTGGTTAAATGCATGATGCCCTACCTAAAAGTTCCAGAAACGTGCATCTAGGTGCATTGCGTTGTATGGGAGCTTTTATACTCTGCGACAGGTGATATGGGGGAACGAGCTGGCGTAGTGGCTAGAGCGCGGGACTTCAGTCCCTGAGGTCCCGGGTTCGATCCCCGCCAAGTCACCAATGGATTTTATCTAAGTGACAATGCCGCAACCCCTAGGTCTAGCCTGAAGTAATGTGAAAAACAATCCCAGGCTCGGGCCTAGCATCCAAGGACAAAAAAAAAAAAAAATACTCTGCGACACATCGCAGCGGCACTGTCAAGGGCTGCAACCATGATCGAAACCAAACCCTCTTCAGAACGAACCAGCATTATTTGTTTGGTAAGGCTTCAAAGCTTGACAATGATGTAAGCCTGGACAATTTATTAAATATTCTTTATATACTCCGAATTATTATTTGACCATCCATAACAATATTTTTTTGTATTACTATTATTATACATGAGCTAGGCCTAGTTAATTTGGTTTTAGCTTGGTAAACTAGGGGGAAATATTAATCGAATTCATAGTATTCTATTATCCCATCACTGACACCCCCCCCCCCCCCCCCCCCCATCACTACCATGGCCGCTCCTCTTGTGCGCGGCACGACGCAGAGTATGAAAGGGGCCTAATATGGTTAACTTCTTAACTGACTGAAGTCAGTTGGTTTCCTTAGCCACAAATGTAGATTGAAAACTGTCTTTCAATTTGACAAGCTATCAATAACTAGCAACCAAAAAATCCTTAAGAAATAAAAATTTTTTGCCTTTATCCATGAAGTGATTTGGCATCCTTGAGAATGCCTACTACATAAATTAAAACCAAGCCTAAAAGCAAACTTGATATTTTAAAATATAGAGACATAGGCCTACTGTATTTAAAAATCATAAGCCAATGATACAGTAGAACCATAGACTAACCAACACTTAATGAGTAGACTTAAGTGGACTTCTCATCCCATTGTAAATTTTGAAGCTTGTTTTTCGTGTTTAGTTCATGTACTGTGACACTGGGCCCTAGTGATGAAGAATTTTTTTTCTATTATTTTAGGGTTAATTTCTTGATTTGTGCTATATTGTGTGGTGTATAACTAGGGGATTAATTATTGTTTATGGTTAGATTGTATTATTTGGTTAAACGAGGTTTATATTCAGCTGTTCCAAAAGGATGAGAAATCTACTAAGGGAGATGTTTTATCTATGGTAGAACCTCGATAAGAAGTGTCGCAGGTGATTAGGAAAATAGTCCTGTTATCGAGGTGTTGTTCTTGTCAAGGGTCACATTACAAAGTGGTTTCGGCCAGCAGTCGTGTCATGAAGGTTATTAAAAGTCTCATCTTTATAATGATTGTATTTCATAACTTATGCAAACACGTATTTTCTTTCAAATTATAATATAGGCTATAGTGCAGTAGCCTACTGTTAATATACTGTATAACAAATTGAAATAGGTTAAAATTGACTTGATCACGTGGCTTTAGTCCAAGGCACTATCAAGTAGGCTACAGTTATCGATTTAAGAACAAAATACTGGACTTGAGATAAATCAACAGATAATCAGTAATGCAGTAAAGGACCACAATGAACATTGCACTACTGACCTATCAAAGATAAATAATTTTCTGAAAAATGGTGGTAGGGTAGGTGCACATAGAGTAGGTTCCAGGCAGGTTTCACTGGTTCCAGACTGAACTGATGTTATTTCCTCCAAAACATCCGTTCTGGCGAATTCCCGTAGGAACTATTTCATACAGTTTAGCTCTGTAGAGTTGTGTTACCGAGATTGACTTGGAAAAAATTGCCATAGAGGTTTTGAATTGCCTCATAACTTCAAATTAGGTGTCTTATTAAAGTGGTTTTAAAACAGAAATACTCGTAATATAGAGGTTAATTTAACATTGTGTTAAATTACAACATAACATTGTGGTTAACATTGTGGTTTTAAAGTGGACTTGTAATCAAGGTTGTGACATTGAGGGTCGTGCAAACGAGTTTCTACTATATTTAGTTTAGCTTTAGATACTATATATAAGCTGTTATAGCATTTAGTGGTTTTAATCTACTTAGGTTTGAATTACTAGTCTTTCTGCATTACAATATTTGGTCTAATGGTCAATTTATATACTGTCCATTAAAACCTTATATTTTATAAACGCTATCAAATAAACTGGTAATGTTCAATGTTGGCTTTGACTTTACCTCCTGATTTGGTCAGATAGCTGTCTTCTGAGCGTCTCCTGATCTCTTCTTAACCTCTCATTTTCCATCTGCAACTTTAATTATTTCATTTGGTAAAATGTTTCTGCTGGAGAACTCAACCACAAGGTATGGTTTAAAAATAAATGTATTTCAAATATAAAAAATTTTGAATTAGAAGTTAAGAGTAAATAAAACAAGTTTAGGATGAAGCGAACATAAAACGGAGCTGATTAGTAAAGTACAGCATCTCATTTGTTTTTTAAAACAATGTTTTTAGTATGTAATGTGGTACCTATTATTGAAATTACATTAATTTTCAAAAAGCATTAGGCCTACTACTAACTTGGTTTAAATAAGGTGTTGTTTGATTTGGCTTTTAAGGATGCATTTTTTTTACCTTTCATAATAATGTTTTGTAGCTGTTACAGTTTTCATGGAATTTGACATTACTATTCCTAAACGGCAGCCATTTTGAAATTGGTTTAGTTATAGGAAAATAGTTGTATACACTTGTTCTACCTATTAAGGTACACATGTATACTAAATATGAAGTTTCTATCTTAAATAGATCTTGATGAGTTAAAAATTAATTTATAAAGAATACATACAGGTCGATAGACGGAAAACTTATCACCAGAGAACCATGTTTCTATTGTAAAATGTGTGCCTAAGGAAAATTTTATATAAAATTTGAAATTTCCCAGAGAGTCCCAGGACACCCTGTATATAGTTTTAACCAAACTACGTCCAATGGACTGAATACATTTCAAACTGGAATCTGATGATAGCACAACCAAACCTAGGAAATCCTAGGGTAACATAAAAACAGGTAAACTTAGGGTGCAAGAATACGACTATGAATATGACTGAAGGTAATTAAACCATGTTTGATTTTTTCATCCAATAAACATTGTTAAACTTTATAAATTTTATTTTAACACTCAATGGTTGAGGAACACTATTCTATTATATAGTTTTACCTAGTGCAAGAGATCATAGGTTTTATTTTTTTGGCTTATAACATTTATTAGTATTCATATTCATAGTAATCAGACCTTTTCATTAAGGCCTACTGCAATTTGACACCCTTCCAATCCTACAAGTGTTGGATTATCAAAAGCCAACTGTAATTAGGCCTACCATACTTACAAAATTCAGATTACAATCTCTTGGCAAATTTCAACACTTACTGACTGAATGTGTGAATGGGAGGCGGGGATGGAAGGACTGCTGGGCTCTGATGGTGGTTGCGTCACGTCACGTCGTCCGCTATGGATTGGTCCGTCAGATAGAAAGTCGGGAAGGCTGGTCGAAGCCCCGACTTCCGCTCCGGGAGGCTTGGACGGAAGGTCAAAGGGCAATCCCTCGGGTAGGTCCAGGGGTAGGTGGGGCGCCTCGGGTCGTTCATGTCGTGTTGCAGTCAAGTCGAACGGCAACTCTCCCGACCTGCTTGGGTTCCAGCTGTCATTGGACGCCCTGTGAAAAGTAAGGTACCACGTTTAACCTTTAGAATCCAGAATAATTTAGGTCCTACTTCTTCCCCTAACACATTCACTAATACCAACATTTTAAGGTTAAAAATTTCTCTTCCTCTTTGTTATCTATAACAGGGTGTTTGAAAAGTCTGGGTACGGCTAAATATTTTACAAACCATAGCAGAAAACAGCTATAAACTTTGCACAGTGTCATATGGCAATGTAAACTATTTTATTTTCCCTTGCTATTGCCATGACATGACAACCATGGGGGTCCCCCCCATGGTTGCCATAATCATTGTGTCCTCTGTGGGGGACCACAGAGGAAGTCATAGAAATGTCATCAATTTCAATGAAATTTGGCTTAAAGGTGTAAAGCAGGATAAACTTGAATGAGATTGCGAACCAGCATATGATCAGGCTATGGGAACGGGCTTTTATGGGGTAAACATTGGTTTTTATCATTTTTTATCCTCAAAACCAAAAATTTCCCAATCTTTCTCTATACCATTTTAAAGAGCTAAAAATAAATAATGGTATATTAAAGTTTTTTTGTACGGTTATAAGATGAAACGGAAGAAATTAAAAAAATAGTACCTAATTTTAAAGTTTCTATGTTACCTATTCTTATGGAGAATATTGTAAATTCTTGTAACCTTAGGCCCAATTCATACAGAACGGACGTCAGGCGGAGACGTGGCACGGACAATGTACACAGAAGGGACGGTACAGTGACGAGAAAACTTGTATGTAGACTATACGCTTTGGATTTGCTTATTTCTTTTAGTTATTTATGTCAACTGCAAATTAGTTATTTCTGTCGACTGTGTCGATTAGTTAGTTTGTACAAATGTACAAACAAGGGTAGCCTATTGTTCAACTTCCTCACAAAATCTGATATTGAATTCAATGTCGTCTCGCATAGTGAAAAGAACAAGAACCAACTCACAATTACTCTAAACACAAAACAAACAAGGTTGGTAAGTAAAATATTTGCAGTCTGAACAACGGGCGCGCTACGGACATGCCACTTGCCGATACGCCACGAGGGGAGGGCGGCCGCCTGCCCCACGTCACTTGTGTGGGCATTGATCAATTTGTTTACCATTACCATTACCAACTCCTATGTCGTTGCCCAACACTTGTTGGATAGACTGCGTCAATTTAAATTACAGTTATAAAACTTATAAAAAATAACATTCTTATTTAACCAATATTTACAAAAACTAGTGATGGCGGTGCATATTATATATTCGAGAAGTACTCGCCAGACACTTCCTCAAAAGAGTACAGCGGCTCATTTGTGAGTTTGTTAAAAATCCGCATGGAGAAAGCTTTCATGTCTTCAGTGTGGGCCCGGGGCGGTAACATATTGTAGAATCGCATGGCTGGGATGGGATGGGCTGCCAAGGATCTTGATAACCTGCATCGAGGAATGTCAAGTTCCTGTGCATGCCTGGTGTCATGATTATGGAGATCACCCCTCTGTTGATATTCACCTATGTTATTTCTGAGATTAATCAAGCCGTAATAAACATATTGGCTGAAGATGGTCATAACCTTAAGGTTGGCGAATAGGGGCTTACAGTGGTCTCTATAACCAGCGGCTGACAGCACTCTGACTGCCCTCTTCTGCAGACGAAGCACTTTTATACAGCCAGGAGCATGTCCCCAGAGCAGGATTCCATATCTGATATGGCTTTGAAATAGGGCATGATATACATTTATCAAATATTTATCAGTGATGACCCCCCTAAGTTTCCACAGAAGAAAGACCACACGGGAGAGTTTAACACATACATCACTGATATGTTGTTCCCAGGTAAACTTAGGGTCTAGGCTGAAGCCCAGCAATTTCACGCTGCTTTGCTGATCAATATTCATTGTTTTGCTTAAAGTGCATAACATTCTCTGGGTCTTGTCTCCATTCTTTACATGGAGAGGCGAGGAAGGGACATATGTCCTTGCCTCGTCCGTGCCACGTCTCCGCCCGACGTTCGTTCTGTGTGAATTGGGCCTTAGTTCTTGATTGTTTATGGATATATTTTGATCAAACTTGCCAAATTTTATACCAGGCTATTAATATTTTACTAAAAATACACTTTGTTAGCATCCCTGTAGTAGCAAAACCTAGGTACTTGCTAAACTTATGTTATTTAAATAGACTAGGCCTAAACAGAAAATCAAATACAGTAAGGCAAATGGAAATTCACTTAGACTAGGACTACAGGTTTGCTGCGGCAGGGGTATTTGAACCGTTAATTACCATAGGCCTACATTATTTAATGGCCTACTGGAGAAGGTTTGATGAACCCAGAGGTGCTAACTGATGAAAACTAATTTTTAAATAGGCAGCATGAACTTACTCTAGCCCAAACTCTGCGAGGCGGTTCATATCCACTGACAGCGAGGAGGGCTGGTTTTGGTTCAAATAGCATTGTTCTATCACAAGATGATCTTGAACAAAGTCAGGTAGTCCAGATGCCAACTCCGGATTATTGATGATCCGAGACGATGAAGGTGATTTGGTGGGGTAAACTTTTGGTCGTGCCCCACCAAATAACGGTTCTGGATTTAAAAAGTGTTTGAACGAGAATGGATTATCCTCCCTTCTAGGTGGATCTCCCCCAGAACTTGTTCCTGAAACCAAGTGAAATATGAGAGGGCAAATGTATGACATAACCATATAAACTAGGCTTAAATAGCTTAATTACAAGTATTTAGTAAAAAAAGGCATAGGCCTAAGTATAAACAAACATTAACTTCAAACTAACATAAATCAACAATTTACATAACACAAACATAAACAGATAATAAGCTCGACTTTAGGGTGCATCCGATTACTACTACTACTGCTATACAACTACTACTATACTAGTGGTTAGCGTCTCGGACTTCGATACGGGAGGAACTGAATTTATTTATTTCAACGGCAAGCCCCATTTTACAAAATAATACATGAGAAATTACCTTACATGCAACAAGATACAGAAGAAAACATGATATGGGTGCATAAGAAATTACATGATGATTCAAGACTGATGACATAAAGCTGTTTGCAGAAGTCAACTCTCACACTGACTGTCAACTACCTACCGTACCGTAACTTACTTCAAGAAGCCCTCAACAACATCGTCAGTTGGTGTTAAGCGAAAATTGTAAGGCAGATTTATGCTTATAAAATACTAAAAATAGATAAATAGTGGACTCTGGTAAGTAGTGGTTGTCACGACGTCCGCTATGGATAAGGCAATAATTGTACCGTAATTTATTACGTTAGCCTAGGCCTACTAAGTTACGATTCATTGAAGAAAAGATTTAAGGTTGGCCTACATAGTATGTTGGATTACTTATGATAACAAAGATCAGTTAAAAGATTCTAAAAAATGGCCCCAGGGCCTATCTAGGCTTAGGCTAATGTGCTTGGCTAAAATTAGGATTTCATTAGCTAAATTAGGTAGCACTCTTTTACACAGTATGACTATATGGTTGGATCAGGATGGTTTGTTTTGACAGAAATATTAATTTTGAGAAGTAAAATAACATAGTCTACTTATTATAAACAAATTGTCTAACTAAATCTAAAACCTAACCTGCTTGTCCGGTTTCGGTTGCAGAGTTCCTCATTTGATTGCTGTTACCCAATCCAATGTCTGGCCCCACTGATGCACCTTGAATATTTTCATCGTCAGAATTATCTTCACCATTATTTGAATTAGAATTAGTTCTATAATAATTATTACTTCCATTGCCCTTCCCATCATTTTTATCAGCCATGTTTCTGTTTTTCTGTTTGGTTGTCGGTCGGTACTCGGTAGTGTAAGTGTCTGTCTGTCTTGCATGAAACAGCTGATTAATTCTGAAACGCCATCGCCCTTTACAAAACAGCTGACTCACAATGGCGCGACAATTTTAAATTTTAAACTCGTATGGAAATGAACAATACTGCCCACTGCACAATTTTTATTTCAGCTGCAGTTACTTTAATAAGAACAAAATGAGAGCATTCTATTGGCTGAGGGAACACCATTATCGCAATAAAACGAGTTGAAGCCATCAGCCTCGGTGGTCTAGTGGATAGCGTGCCGAGCTTCGAAATTTATGGTACCAGGTTCGAAACCCATCGTAGGCACAAACTTTTTGTCTAAGATTTTTGCATTATCAGCAAGTTTGGTTAGTTTTGTTAGGTTATAACAGTTAAATTTTATAATTAAAACCTTATAAAATTGAATTTGAGCTATTTATAGTTTTATTTTATGAACAGAACTATTGTTTCGATTAGTAAACCTTCATTAAATTTTTTCATTATCAGCAAGTTTGGTTAGTTTGGTTAGGTTATGACAGTTTTATTTTATAATTAAAAAATATAAAATTTAATTTGGGGCATTTATAGTTTTATTTTACGAACAGAACTATTTCTTCTATTAGTACACCTTCATTCAATTTTGTCATTATCAGCAAGTTTGGTTAGTTAGGTTAGGTTATGATAGTTTAATTAATAAATTAATTATATATTTTTTTTTGTTTTAGGCCTACAATAATTTTTTTTTAATTTCTAATTTTTAAACTCTCATTTTGTCCGTATTAAAAAACTGCAGCTGAAATAAAAATCGTGCCTCCCCACTAGGGAGTGATAACCTTGGAATGTGACCTCTGGTTTGTAAACACGTCTCGCCGACTCGTATGGGTAAGCGACGGCGGACGACGCAGTTATAGGTTAGTTTAGTTTGTTTTGTTGTTTAGTTTCGACAGCCTGAGCTCTGTTCTGTGATACAGTGGCAGTGCACTGCACAAAGGAACTTGATAGCTTTTGTTTACATATGCAATTCAAAATTTTATATGTGATCTAAGTTAAGTATAGTGTTATTAAAATAAACTAATAATAATTCGCAATTATAATGAAAAACTCCATGAAGAATTTATTCAAGGGTTTCTCAACAAAAGGTAAATATTTAATTATTGTTTGTTACTATTCCAAACACAATAAGAATCTTTCTTTGTTCAATTACTTATGGTTTTAGTGTAATTTCACCTTAGTTGGCTAAACCTGTAGATACCAAGAAAAACCAATATTATAATACTACTTAAATAAGTACCATTGACAACTTTATACCAAAGAAAAGAATTTAAAATTCTTATTTCATCACTCCGTAATGAAAGTAACTATTTTCGATAACAGCTAGCTGACATCCACGAAAGTAGTTGTGTCCCAAAGCTCTAATATTTAGGGCGAGGGAAAATCAATCAGCTCATTTTCCCTCGCTCTAAATTTACTTTCCCTCACTCTCAATTAGTTCTCCATTTACTCACTACGCGCGCTAGTGTTTTATTATGGTTTAATTTCATTATTATCAGCTCTGCATGTATTTGTTAAAAGTTATTTTTTATTTTGATGTTTAAATCAATTTTATTGAGAAATATACGTAGGTTTCCTTTTAGAAGATTTTATTTTATTTTGATGCTTAAACAAATTAATTGAAGAAATAAAATAGTTGAAGAGAATTACTGAGGTATTCTGTGTTTGTGAATTTTTGCGTCGTAATTAAAAGTATCCCTCATAACTCGTACCGAGCGTTATTTTCCGGCACATGCTCCATTATTCCCGTCGTCGGCTATGCTTCGTTTGTGAAAATAGGTGAAAATTGGGGTTTCCTGTGTTCGATGTTGAGCGTGTGCCAAAAAATGCCACTTTCAGTCCTAGTAATGAATTATACTACTACACTATAGCATATAAGATTAAAATAGTGGTGATTCTTTTTCACAATGCCTTGCAAGTAATTCAGCCAAGTTTTCTATACCAGTAAATATAATAATAGACATCATATCATATGTATCCCTAAAACTTATAGACCTAATGTAATAGTGTTACGTTACTAGCCCAGTGGTGTTTTACCGTGAGATTTTTGTGCGAGTATGGTAAAGCTTACCGGACGAGTAACGTACGATACTTTACATCATACTACACAGAAAAATGAGTAAATTTTAAACTCATAACACAATTTATTTAGGACATAACATGAATTATAATAATTTTATATTTCAGAAAATAAAATAAGCCCTTGCAATTAGCTGTTTATTTCATCAGCTGACCAAGTGTACGGTAAAAATCTTTTACCGTGCAGTGCACAGTAAAAGTACATTACGTTACTTTTCTGTGTAGGCACAGCAAAGGGCAACTTTCCAGCCTATCATTACAGATGGAAATTACCTTTTTTTGTGTAGTACCGTATGATGTAAAAAATTGTTTTTAAATATTTTGCTTGAATAGAATCCCTACAAAGTGCAGAATATGTTTTCATGGGTTATGGTAAAAATAAGAAACAAAATTTAAATGTTATCACAAACCATATTCAATGTTCTGAATGCACAAAGAAGATCTCTCAAAGAGTTTAAAACTAGAGAAGTAATTCATCCAATCTTATTGGAAATTTAAAATGTATAACAAAATTATTGCTATTATTTATACATATTTTTATTTATATACATGAAAAAAATATATACATGTACCGAGATAGTAACCATGTTGTAAATAAGGGACTGAAACTTTTTATTGATTTTCCTTACTCTATAAATCAATAATATTAGTCTACTTAAAGAAGATAAATGGAATTTTGTTTTAAAATTAATACGTATCACATATTACTTTCATTTCAATATTTCATAAAAATCCACTTTTGAATGTATAGTTATTGTTTGAAATTTAATTTACAATTGTTTATTTTATTTTACATACATAGCTGTTTATAGGTACAAAGCTTCAGAATGTGTCTGCAACCATCCAGCAGAAACCATCCTTGAAAGAAAATCAAGACGTTGAGCCAAAGATGCCTGATTTTTCTTATAAGCCACAAGTTTATGAGGTATGGCAACTACTAAATATTTCCCTAGTACTATACCTAAATTGTGATGTGAATATTTTTCTGTATAATGATAATGCTTAACATCTCTGGAAAAACAGTTCAGTCTAAGATTGCAAGTGAGGGTTATAAATTTCTTGCAACCAATCCTTGACCAGAATAACCCCTGAACAAAGTGGAGAACACAGTGGATAAAGCTAACAAATAAGTTTTAGCAATTATGAATAAAAAGAAACAACACTGCTAATTCCTATGACATTGTGTTTTGTTAATAATTTTTAAAGAAATGTGTCCATTGAGCATTTTACTTTATGTATAGGGCCCGAGCTACGAGAAGTTGGAAGGTATAAAGAAGCAGCATGTGGTACAATGTATCCGACAATACTACAAGAAGCCGTTAGTGATTCACGAGGGCCGCATGCAATGGCTGTACGACACTGAAGGTCGGAGATACCTCGATATGTTCGGAGGCATCGTTACCGTCAGTGTTGGACATTGTCATCCGTAAGTGTTGGACGTTTACGTTCTCTCAAATGTATAACATAATGTCACATGAACAAGTCATATGCAAAGGTTTCACTACTATCCAGTTTAATTTTACAAAAGTAAAACAACAAAAATATTTGCCGCCCAGAGCACAGCTATCTTCTCACACATTTATTATAATCTAACCCTGAGAGGTACTCGGTGGCAATTATAATCCAATAGCTGCCCAAAAAAAGCAAACTCAATACTATCATTGGCAAAAATGCTATATGTAATATCTATGAAAAAATTCAAAATTACCAGCCCACATCACACATAACGCTGAGAAGCTATAAAAAATCAGAACTCTATGACAATTAGAGTCATGCATTACTGTATTGAGTATTCACTTTAAAACCATATATTTTTTTAGGAAAATAAACGAGGTGGTGAAAAAGCAGATGGACAAGCTGTGGCATACAACAAACATCTACATGCATCCGAAACTGTACGAATACGCTGAGAAACTAGTGGCTAAATTTCCAGGGAAACTTAAGGTATAAACTATTATAATTTTTCATTATCAATAGTAGACACAATCGTTTATTTGGTGCTTAAGGTCATCTTAAACATGAGCTTGTTTTTGTTATTGAATATTCATTGTGTACCATCAAAAGAATATCTGGCAGTCATGGGTGTGAGGTCTTAATCAAAGTAAGTGAAGTCATTCACCCGTAAGTCAAACAAGGTTTATCAGTGTTTCAGTCGTCATGAGAACTATTTATCAGCAAAGACATTCAGATTGTTCATCTCTTTGTACAACACTTTTCCTTGTAATTGTCTATAACGTCTTGGGCATAACTGGATGTATATAATCACAGTTCCTACATTAAATTAGAAGAGTATCAAATAAAATGTAGCAACAAGAAACGTCAACTTCATAAACTATTAAAATCATTAAAAACTATATTATCAACTTTAAACTAAGTATCATGTACACTGTCACGATTTAAACATATGTTTAGCGGTTGGATTTCAGATTTCACAGTATTTGATCTGTTAGAAAACAAATTTTATAAATTACAACTACTATTTTCTCTCGTTACAAACTATATATTATCTATCCATAACACTATAACATTTCCTCCCTCCCATTCACCAGACTATTTTAGATTAAGCTAAGAATAAATGCCATAAAAATGTGCATACAACACTGTGGTATACATACCGAAATACAAATAAAGTGTAATTTTATCAAAACAGGTTGTATATTTAGTGAACAGTGGATCAGAAGCAAATGACCTTGCAATGCTTCTTGCGAGAATCCACACGAAAAACCATGACATAATTTCTTTCCGCAATGCTTACCATGGAATGAGCCCTTATGTTATGGGGATCACAGCACATTCTACGTGGAGGTTCGACGTTCCTGTGAATAACGGGATTCATCATGTAAGTACCTTAACCTTTCTAAATACAAAGTAGATCACATGAAAAAATCTTTACACATTTTGAAGAACTTTTGTACTCTCAATTTTTGATGTTTGAGATAGTCATCTCTAGTTTTCACTGTTTTATCTTATTTTACAAGAACCCTTTAAATTTCAGAGTACAGTACCGGTACTTTTTATTTTATGATTTCAATAAGAAGTATTTAGTCGTTATGTCATTTAATCAATGTTATTTGAATATATGTTGTTATTGAAGAGACAGGATTTTTTTTAAAGTACAGTGTATTTCCCTTTTACTGTAAAAAAATTACATTATGTTTTGAACAGTCAAATCTGAGAGCATGCTGACCTCTCTGTAGATAGAGGGAGAGGTTCAATAATTGAGCCTATTGTGTTCAATTGTTGCCAGCATGTACACATCAGTTTTGTCAATTGAGTGTTCAAAAATACAAGTGGAGCTCTAGATTTGCTATAGCTACAAATACCGAATTAATGACTTCTGTATTTAAGTATTTCCCTTACATATTTTACCATGTATATTTTGACTATATGTGTAGTCTGTACACATTAAAACTGATGCTATATGCCTACTATAGAGAGTGGATTTAATTAAACTTTTAATCTCCCAGGCAATCTTTTTTAAATTTTTGTCTTTGGAGTTTTTGTTGTGGCATGAAGTTAACCAGTCGGTTTTTTAGAGTAAACAGTAGGTAATCTGATGTTTACCTGAGTACAGCTTAGTAATCAAATATCAACCAAGAGGGTGTTATATCACAATTCTAGTGATAAAACGATTTGTGTTGTAAAGGAACCCCATCACCCTAGTGGAAGAGATCAATATATATCAATACAAAAATTGTATATTGATACGTATTGATACGTATGTGTATTTGGGCCAATACACATCAATACACATCAATACACATCAATACATATCAATACAAGTAAATATAGGATCCGAGTCATTATAGCTTAATTGAAAATAATTTGTAGCTTGTTAAAAAACAATTTTTAATTTGTTTCAACACATTGAATCACATCTACTATGCACTAAAAATAAAATAAAAATGAAAAAGTAAAAAAATTCTTGTCAAAAAGAAGCTATTGGTGTTACCTTGATTTGAACCTGGGACTCCAGCATGGTAGCCAACTATCCAAGCCATTACGCCACGGACGCTTCATATCTGATTGAGTAATGATAGCCACTTTGAATGCTTCATATCTGGTTGAGTAATGATAGCCACTTTGAATGCGAGAAGCTGTGTTAGGCCTCATAATTAAACTTAAAAGATTTTTCAATGGCATTTGTGCCATTTCAAGCATGTACCTATGCATGTAATTATGCTTTAACATGTTTCAAAACTGTTTTATTACCAGTTCAAACTGTTTTCTTGCTACTTGGGTGATGTGAATAGTGTCAATACAATTTATTTTTATTGATTTCTAGAAATAAGGAATTCAATGATGAATTTGTGAGTGATTTTTATCCCTAACAATAATCCATTAAGAAAGAAATTGTTAAAAGTTGTCGAAAGCTGTATTACAATTCTTGTATAACAATTTTAAAACATTTTGATTTAAACTTCATATTACAACAATGTTGATATAAGATTGAAACAATTTTAAAAATGTTTAACAATAATATTTTTGCAGTCGAAAAAATAAGTTTCAATACGAGCTGTAACTGTTATACAACAATTTTAAAATTGTTTTACAATCAGTTTTTTGAAGTTTAAAAAAGTTAGTTTTAATACAAGTTGTAAACTGTTTTACAACAATTTTAAAATTGTTTAGCAATCAGTTTTTGGCAGTTTAAAAAATAAGATTTAATACAAGTTGTATAACTGTTTTACAACAATTTTAAAATGATATATTTTTAAATTATATTGAGTTTTAGGTACCTCAGCTAACGTCTATGACCTAAAACTAGAGTTTTTCTTTTTTTTTCAAAAAATAACATTTTTATTACTGTTTATTTAACCACTTTACATTGATATTTGGTATAATCCATAATGCTCATATGTGATACATTTTAGAGATATTTTGAATTTTATTTACCCGTATTGATGTCTATTGATTCATATTGACATCTAACATATTAAAAAAATATTCTCTATTGATATCAATGAACGATTTGTTTGCTCTAATGATCTATATTGATATATTTTATGTTTATAGATGTCTAGTGATATGTATTGACTAAGTTTTCAGTGATGTCTATTTGTTTGTATTTACTTGTAATGATATCCATGAACATCTATTGATATCACTAAGCATCTAGTGATATCAATAGATTTTTTCTATTGATTTCTATTGATGTCTTCCACTGTATTGTTTTGAAACACATTCTCATGCCTTCTTGAATCCATTCAATCTTTTACTACCATGATATTATTGTATTAAAATTGTAGCTCTATACTTATAGGTACCTGATAAACACAGCACTATTTTGTCTAAAAGCTAGATTTTCGAAGGCACAGAAGCGAAGTGTGGAGCGAAGAGTCTGCTCTTCGCTTGTCTTAGTTCATAGTCTTAGAGGGGTTGTCTTTACTGGTACTGTTTTCCTAAAATAGGGCTGCAATTGAAATTGCTTCTCCGCACTCTGCACTTAGGAAAGCCTGGCTTAAGGCAGATCTGCTCTTCACTCTAGCTTCAAAAGTCTTTCCCTTACCTCAGTCGGCTCTGTGCAGTCAAACATAAAATGGTCTCGAGTCTCTTCAGATTGTCCCTAGCTCTCAAAGTATATCCCTATTACAGATTAGATTAGATTTATAAGAAGCGGACACACCAGAATGCATGCTTTAAAAAAAGGATGAGTGTTTAATGAGTGAGGAACATCATTGTTACTGACTAAGATCAGCTGGTGCTTAGACCATGAGCATTCATCAAGCTCTATGATCAAAAACAGCTGGGTTGCAGTTTCACTCCATGCAAAAGCGTGTCTGACTTTTCTCAGGATCGGACCAACAACTTTCTATTATTTACTCTAGGCACTATTCAGCCATAGGTGCTTCATAAGGTGATAATTTCTAAAACTGCTGCAGAGACATTTTCCATCCATCCCTTTCAGATGAGATCCCCGAGTTAGTTTCTAAATGTGTTTACCACTCACAGGCCATGAACCCTGACGTGTACCGTGGGTGGTGGGGCGGCCAGTACTGCCGAGACTCCCCAGTACAGACGGACCGAGAGTGTGGATGTTCCCAGGACCACTGCCAGGCCGGAGACAACTACTACTCCGAACTGGAGCAGGTATTCCGCTACTCCCTACCAAGAGGAAAGGTTGCTGGATTCTTTGCTGAATCTATACAGGTACGATTCTAAAATCACCATCATGATATTTTAGTTTTATGATCAATATTAGAGCCCTTAAGTCATTTTAATAGGAAAAATTCATTGTCTTCCGTTTTACCACCATGTTACCTAATGGTTTAAAACTTACTGCACAGTTGCAAATGGTTCATATACTCTTTTTGATCCTAACACATTTCTCTACTTGTTTGACGTGTTTACAAATAGAGTATACATGAAAATTGTTTACAGGGAGTTGGGGGAGTGGTTCAATATCCAAAAGGGTTTTTGAAAAAGGCTTTTGAGCTGGTGCGTAGCAATGGGGGAGTTTGCATTTCTGATGAGGTAAGTTGACAAAAAACCGAATTAAACAAATCCTCTAGAAAAATATTAATATAGGAATTCAAAAAGCTCACTGGGAGTAAAAGATAAACCCCCTGGGTCTTTTAAAAGAATATGTTCAGTTCTAGCAGTTGCCTACCCTTTCAATTCCAGGACATGAAATACCTGCATATTTATTGATTCCTACAAAGCTTTAAACATAATTATTAAATAAGAGATACATTTTGATGGAGTCTAGATTTGGGATGTGAATTAAAAGTACCCTTATGAGGAGCAAGAACCAAATTGTACATATTATTGTGTTCGCACTGAAACAATCAAATGTAAATTCATCCTTTCAAATGGTTTAAAAAAAAAAAAAAAAAAAAACATTTCTCATCACCTGAGTCATCACCTGAGTCATGACAAACGTGTCTAAGTGCGCGCACACGGTTCGTAGGCCTACAGTAACTATTCTCTGTCCATGTATGTGTAAAAATTATATTTATTTGACGACCTCGGTTGAGTGAAATGTGTTCTTGACGACCTGAAGATGAAGCTTATACTGCTTCGAAACGCGTAGTCGTTAGACAGCAATTTGGATTACTTTGGCAGATCCAGGTAACATTATACCTTTGATAATCTAAAACAGTAATCCTGAGACAATAAACAACATGAAACATTTATCCATTGAGGGTACCTATCACAAGTGAAATATCAAGAATCCTTATCTGCATCAAATAATACTTTGGTTTAAGTTTGAAGATTGGCTAAAAGCATTCCAAAGTTAATTTGAATGTTCAAGATCCAAATCACATAGAAAAAAATGTAAATATCTGCACAAAATCCAGTAATAAATTTCAACAGGTGCAAACAGGATTCGGCCGTCTTGGAAGTCATTTTTGGGGATTTGAAACGCACGAAGTTGTCCCAGATATTGTCACTCTAGCTAAGGGGATCGGCAACGGTTATCCACTGGCTGCTGTCATTACGACCCCTAGGATATCCGAGGCGCTGAACCAAGCCTTGCACTTCAACACCTATGGAGGCAACCCTATTGCCTGCACCGTAGGGCTTTCTGTGCTAGAGGTATGTTTACTACGGGTCTTTTACTACTTTATGGTTATCTATCATTGTTTGGACATGAGTTATATCTATCACAATATTAATATTAGTATACTTTATACTTTTAATACTTTATTCTGAAATGGCGACCATACAAATGTAAAAAAGGAGATGAGTGTAGGATGAGTGGGAGTGGTCTTATAGTACTTACTGACTAAGGCCGACATGTTCCTTAGACACAGCTGTTAATCAATAGCCCATACAGCCAATGGCAACTAAGGGACCTACAGTTGATAGTGGAATCGGAACCACATTTTTGCCTTGTAATTAACGAATTGGTCTAATTATCAGGATAGTACTGTGACTGTGGATAGTCGTGATAATACTCACTAGTGTTGACGTTAATCCACACCAGGGAGTATCACATCCACAGTGCATGCTTATATATCCACAATTATCTTTTATTAATTTTAATTGTTAATTTCTAATGACTTGTATATTCTAAACCTTGCAGATTGTAAGACTCTTTAGATTGATTGTTGTTCTTTTAAGTATGTTATTTAAATTAGATTTTCAAGTTAATGAGAATCACCTTTGTCTATTGATACAAGTAAACATCCCCTTCTAAAATCTTTTGCTAGTTTTTGACGTAACTGAATTAGAGTGGAGACACTAATTATTGGTTTCTGTGAAGTATGCCAAATTTAAAACAAATCTTAAGTAAAAGGAAGACTTATTGTAAGCTGTAGCATTTTAAATTACATTAAATAAATATTATTATTACCAAAAACGGATGATATAGAAATTAATAGTAGCACATTCTGTGAGAGGTTCAATCAACCCAGATTCCATTTGTCATTGGGCTATGAATTAATGATTCTATCTAACAAAATGGTCGACGTTAGATAGTAACAAGACCAGGGTTTGGACTGTTCCCTTTCAAAACATAAAAAATGCCACAAGGGTAAAAAAAAAACACACAAAAAATAAAAAAAGTATGTTCATTAAACGCAAAATTTTCTACAGTTGGTCCATATAGATGGGATTTCTAATTTCTTCTTCAGTATCCAAAAGTCAATTTTAGTAGGCCTACAGTAGAACCCTCATATCCGACCATGACGGGACTGGGCCATGGTTGGAACGGCCAAAAGGTCGGTTATTAGGAGGAGCATAACCTGCAATCAATAATCATATCCTGCGACCGCGACAACACCCGTAAATCTAACTTGCAGTCTCTGCGACATTGGTAATCAACTCTCACGACCCCGACAACACCCGTGACGTGAGTGTAACTTACGATCTCCGCAACTTCGATGGGTAATAATTGTCTCCCGCGACTTCGGCAACACATGTTATCGGCGACAGTGGTGAGTCTGCCGTGATCGGCCTTCGGTTAACCGATCGTGCTCGGCGTTATCGCCCCAAACAGGAAACAAGTAGACAGTCGGATACTAGGTCGGATATCCCGAGGAGTCGGTTATTCTGAGGTCAGATATGAGGGGTTCTACTGTACTGTAAATTTAAAGTCAACCACAACGTTTACCTGAACTTTTTGCCAAGTTTTAGAAAATACAACTTTATGTCCATTATGACTTGTTATTTATGAATCTATAAACAACTTTAGGTACTCTTTTCAGGTGATCTGGTTTTTCATCTCTTTAAAATTATGCGTTTCAAAACCAAGTGATAAAAGTAATAAATTGTGTGGACACTGAAATGTTATTTCTTTTTAGGTGATAGAAGAGGAGGGTCTGCAGAAGAACAGTGCTGATGTTGGAACTCATTTGTTGAACCTGCTTGCACCAATGAGGGAAGAGTTTCCCTGTGTCGGGGATGTCCGAGGGAAAGGTCTCATGATAGGGATGGAACTGATAACAGATAAGGAATCCAAGGCTCCGTTGGGGAACAAACATTTTGCTGACATATGGGAAGACTGCAAAGACATGGGCGTGCTCATTGGCAGAGGAGGACTCATGGCAAATGTAAGTTCAAAAAAGGTTTTTATTTTGTGCTCATTATGAAAGCTACATTTTGTCTTACCTTCAATGACATTATTGGTGCTTTTTTTAACAATAAGGTGAATAGAGGTAACTTTTGGAGGTTAAAATGTGGAATGGCATATCCTTCATAACTCTTTCATGTAGCTATGGTGCGGACTTCAGGCTATTATCCTTAGATGATATTACCCTTTCATGGATTTTCCTGTTGTATTTTTCTGGTCTTTATAGCTTCAATTATTTAGCACTTAGGAAATGTTAAAAAAAAGGTACTAAGATAGAATACCACAACTTAAATATTTTTATTGCTGTTTTACAACTTGAATGATCTCTGATTGCTACTTAAAGATGCATATTGTAAATATAGGATCAAATATTGGGTTTAATGGATTATTAATGTTCTCTCAGATTAGATATTATCAGTTATCACAAATTATGCTTGTAGGTTATCCGCCTGAAGCCTCCAATGTGTGTGACAAAACAAGATGCAGATTTCACTGCTGAAGTTCTGAGGAAAGCTTTCCAGAACCACACCAGAAGAATGAAACTACCAAAATAAGTAATTCATTGTAGTTTTTAACATACACATTCTACATTCTTGAACTAAGTGCCAATAATATACAAAAGAAGATATAAGCCTCAGAATACATGATAAGATAACTTTATACAATCTTAATATTACTTTTACAGGGTACATGTGATATTATAATAATTTACATCAGCACTTTAGCACTCACATATAGCAACTATTAGTTTTGTGTATGATCTGCCAAGGCTTACTTTCAAGAATCTCTTTATTTGCTAGTTGGCTGATACCAAAACTGGATGAAGGCTAGAAAATTATTAGAGAGGATTTATAAGAGATTTTTGTGACTACTTGATATAACTTAACAGTTGTTTCAATTTTCATCAACTTTGTAATGTATTTAAGTGAATTACAGAGATTTTTGTCAAACGAGTCCTCTGAAAAAAAACATAGTTTTTTAGATCTCATACTTTTATTTTGTCTTTTTTTTGCAATCTATTTCTGGTATGAATGATGAATCTAAAAAGTCTAGTTTAAAACTATTTAATGTGTAAAATAATATATCTGCCTCTCTAGAAAACAGTTCTAGACTCGGGTTTAACCATTGACTTAACCCTATTCACAAAGTGAATAGAGACACATATTTATAACATAACATATTTTTCATTAGTTGTAAAAATGTATCTATTTTTAGAAAATGTATGTTTTATTTCATCAATAAGTAATTAATTAATTATAAGCTATAAGACTGAAGTGTGCCATCTATACTATTATAAAATACCCCCGCCGCAGCAAACCTGCAGACTAAGCGAATTTCCATTTGACTGATTGGATTTACACTGAAATGTCTACTTAAAAATATAACATTTATTCTCTATTTAAATAGAATTAGTTTAACTAGTACTTAGGTTTGCTGCATCAGGGAGGGTAAAACTGTTTTTTTTTTTTTAAACGTTAATAGTTAGTAAGAAATAAAAACATTTTCCAAATTTGATCAAAATATGTTCATAAACAAGCAAACTACAACAATTTACTTATTCTCCATAAGAATAACATGGGAATTTTAAATTTACAATTTTTCGGAATTTTCTCCGTAACCATTAGGCGCATAATAACGCTTCAATATACTAAATTATTTCTTTTTTTAAGCTGTACAAAATGGTTTGGAAAGAAATTGCTAAATTTTATGTTTTTTGGGTCAAAAATGGGAAAAACCTAATTTTACCCCATAAAACCCCCCGTAAACCCCCGTTCCCATGGTCCGATCATGCTGGATCGCGAACTCGTTCGAATAAACGTAGGTTTACACGTTTGTACCAAATTTCATCAAAATCGGATCATTTTTGCTCGAGTTATCGTGCTAACGGACACATATATATATAAATATATATATATATACAACAACAACTATATATATATGAATTTGAACGGATGGTGTTTTTGGCCTCTAGGGACCTCAAAATGGAAAAAAAAATCGGTCCCGCGTCCAGGTCTTACCATGAGTACTACGGTAATAGCTTATTCCCTATATGGGAAATTCGCTAAAAGAGGTGGTTGCTGTATGTGTGAATGTGTGTATGGGAAAAGTAAACTCGAAAAATACTGGTCGGATTGGGCTGAAATTTGGCATGATGATAGCTCACATTCCGATTAACATATAGGCATATTCTTATTTCAAAAATCCTTTCGGGCTCCGCCCCAGTGGCTCTGGAGTTTCCCATGTTAACCTTATGAGAAATGGAATTATTGAATCTTAACAGCTGTTTCAATTAAACAAGTTGGTTCTGTTCTATGATGTTCAATAGCATTAAAGTTACAAGGATTACCAACAGGGTGCAGCACTATTATTTCTTTTACATTTATGACAACAGCTAATTTACAACCAAAAGGTGAGTGAGCGTAGCGAACGAACTTCAACCTGGAGGCGAGTTAGCGTAGCGAACGAGCTAACCTGAAGGCAAGTGAGCGCAGCGAACGAGCTCCAACCTAAAGGTGAGTGAGCGTAGCGAACAAGCTCCAACCTAAAGGTGAGTGAGCGTAGCGAACGAGCTCCAACCTAAAGGTGAGTGAGCGTAGCAAACAAACTTCAACCAGGACGTGATTGAGCCATGCGAACGAGATAATCTTGAAAATTAAGAAGTTAAACGGGGCAAAGCCCGCGGGTTACAGCTAGTAAATAATATAAAACAAGTGATCACTAAAATTATTTTCTGACATTTTGTCATTTGTGTCATTAATGTTTGGTAAAAGATTCATTATTCAGTCTCTCCAAGCGGTATCGTGCATATCAAAATTAAATTCTTTCTTTGGCAATAATGTTCAAGCTGTTATTGAACTTAGTCTAGTTACTTGTTAATCCCTTTGTAATTTAATTGTTCCAATCAAGCATGATTTGTCTGTCATAGATTTTCTACTTTTAAATGGTTTTATTATTCAACTGTCAGAAGTGCAATCGAAATATATATTTTTAGCAACTTATACTTACGAATATAAACATCACTACAATCTATGAGAGGGCTCTGCTTTTCAATGATTTATCACAGTTTGGATATTTTGTATTTGTTTAATTTAAAGAGAGATTGGCAGGCTCTTTCAACCTTTGAATTTGGCCGTTCACATGGATCTCAAACCTATGGGCTTGTGTTACCAAGTGGTAAGCCGATACAGTGAACTGAATGAATAAATTTTAGTAGCAGCACCAGGAAACAATTTTAATTACTTATCAACTACAAACTTACACAACTTACAGAACTCACACAGAACTTGTACAGAACTTACTCTTACAAACCAGAATATATTTTTTTTAAAGACAAACTATAACAATGCCAGTCTTATATAAGTGTACAGTACCAGTAACTGTTGTATGTAAAAAGTAACTGATATTTTTAATAGCTAAACTCGTTATAAGTTGCATTTATTTGATTAAAGTTGTAATTAATTTTACTCATCAGTGGTGTAACTTGGGCCTCTCTTATAATCTACGGCATGCCGCTGTCACTGTGATCTGCTCTCTTTTATTAGGACTTTAATTTGGTTACACTACTTGTCTTAATCTCATTATAGCATATAGCTTTATAAGAATGATTTGTGTATTTTTTCTTATTACTCTTTTATATGAAAAAAATGTTTTATAAAAATAAAATGCATTGCATGTTTGAAATAGTCTTACCAATTAATACAAACCCTTTAAGAAGTTAAATGCTTATGGAGAATAGTTAGACTGGAATTTTGCCGCCGATACAAGCTTTTCGTGGCAGCAGCACTACTCTATCTCTCCCTCTCTCTAAGCCGATTCTTTGTCTCACTCTCTCTCTCTCAATCAGCTGACTTGGCCGCGTGATTGCGATAGTCTACCTAGTGGCCGCCGTAGGAACTATCTGAAATTCAAATATTCCCAGACTGAATTTTTAACAAAGGCATTGCGCTTCTTAAGGGTTTGGATTCATTGTTGTTACGTTACTCACCTGGAAGAGCAAGCATAAAACAAAACCATCCCTTTCCCTTAGGCCCAGCGCACACGGTGTGACTGTTTCACAACTGTCGTTGCAAACCAGTTGCGCGTATAACTCTTTTGTGACTTCGGCAATGTATTGCAGTAGGGAGGCGCACACGACGCAACTGGTTGTATGCGATTTCAAAAAACGTTTGAAACCAGTCACATACAACCGTGAGCCCGACGTTGCAGTTGCGTTGCAGACTTCAGTTGCACGAGACCAAGGGTTGTTTTGTGGTGTTTGGTGGTATTTTGACGGCCGTATAGTGTTTTTAAAGTTTATAATTTCCTATCCGACTAGCTCTAGCTGCTACAAACAGCCTAGTACTAACGTTCTTGCTCAAATAAGGGTGAACCCAATGCTCTCTCAGTACCCTTCGCTGTCTTCGGTATTGATAATAGCTAATAACGTCTTCTTCGTCTGAGTCCGACGTAGTAAGCGCACTTAAGGCCTTAACATGGTTTTGACCACGATTTTTTTCTTCTTTATTTAAAGGAGGGTTTGGTCCAAACGAGATGTCTCCTGTTCTGTAGAAAATCATCCACCAAGAAAATCTGATTTTACATAGAGAATCTTAAATTATAGGCCTACCCCCAAATTTAAATAACACACAAAATACTTTTGTAAAATAAACAATAAGCAAATCAGGTAATAATAAGAAAAAGAGCGGCTTGTTTAATATTTATTAATATATCACATTGTTTTAGAGTATAAACCCTAGTAAATTATAAAATAAATAGTAACTTACTAACAAACAATGACAAATGCATACAAAATAAATTGGTAAACTTCAAGTAATAACAAAGTGAACTAACTTATGTACATTCATGAAGAATCAATGTATAGCCCTTTCATAAGTACACACATTCTATGTGAATTGTCTACTGAAGACCATCTCTTAAAAGTTTTTTGGAGTACCGGTAATAGAAACTTGTAAATATTGATAAAATAGGACTATATCCATATTTATTTACTGTTTTATTTTTTTATTTATGATTTCTAAATAAACTCCCTGTGGTAGTTTAAATTTATTCCAGCAGAGAGTTTTATTTTTTTTTTATTTTTTATTTTTTTTAGATATTTCATCAAAACAACAATTTAACTAGATTTACGTCAATGTCTCTCAACATTCTTTAGGTTCTTTGTTGGTAGCCTAAAAATAGTGGTTTCTACATGCACTTGAAAGTTCCAACCTAACTATAGAATGGCTAACTTACAACTAAAATGGCATCATTGAGTTTTATTAAATAACCAAGAACTTCAATGTTTTGTGAGTCAGTTGACACAATCATCTGACGATGATGACATCGTGAATTAAATTGTTTTGCGGTGATAACAAGTTATTTATTGAATTTTGTTGAGTTTTTTGCCATTATTACAAGTTACTGTCACAAATTGTTCTCTATACGGATGTCACAACTCCCTAGCTGAGCTGTCTGAAGTTTTTTTTTTTCATAACATGAAAAATGTTTACTGAGATGTCACGAGTTGTTGGCCGAGCCAGCGCAGGACCCCTGGTTCTGTTTACACCACTGAGGCATGATGGCCTCTGCCTGCACACCAAGTCGTACCAGACGGTCACGTGCCGCTACCAGACGGTACTCAGCAGCACTGCTGTCACTTGTAGGATTGGTCCAGAGCCTTTCTGCCACTGCCGCAGCTCTCGGCCATATTCTGGAGTCAATGTTGCTGTCATCTACAAGCTCTCCCCACATGGCCGCCTCTCCTCCCAGCAAACCTGGGACATTCAAAATGGAGAGTATGTATTAATTTAATTTAATTGTATGTTAATTGTTGTTGTAAGAATAGATTGTTGACTGTTGCCTGATATTCTGTTGATCCTATGTAGTTAAAACCCGATTTGGGATGTTTTCTAGGATCTATTTTCAAAAACTTGTTGTTAGTTACACTAATGTTATTTTGAATTAAGGAACTACAAAACTTTTCAAAGAAAAGCAATTGTTACACAAACCCCTATAATGTGTTTAACCCTTAGAGTGCCAGGCGAGAAATAAAAGTAACGCTCAAAAAATGCCGATGATTTTTCCCGAAGGTCGCGCTAAAAATGCCGAGCGCGATCTGGCGATTTTTAGGTTAAAATTTCGTAAAAATCGAATTTTCGATATTTCGACCAACGAAAATCGATGTATCGCATCTAGCAACTTTCGACTCAATGTTAATATATGGGTTAAAAGAATCCGAGTATTTATTCGGTTGTTATGACAGCTGTTCGATCATTACGAAACGTCCGGTCAGCCGGACGTTGGCACTTTTGGCTCGTTCTAAAAACGTCCGGTCGGCCGGACGTTGGCACTTTTGGCTCGTTTTAAAAACGTCCGGTTCCCCGGACGTTGGCACTCAAAGGGTTAAATATATCGGGGATCATCTTCTGTTATCTCACACTAAAGTATAAAAATCTAATCTCAATGCCCAGTACTTGACTTATTTCCTGGCGTACCACATACGCCACAGGATATATTTAGGGTGCCACTTTGAAAATATTATTGATGAAATATATGTTTATTACATGTTATATTGCCACCTTAATTAACCAAGAAATATGAACATTTTCCTGGAAGGTTAACTGATTAATTCATAAATAAAATATGATCACTGGCTGCAAGACAAGTCTTTGTCACTTGAGTATGAATTATTATTTCAAGTCAGACATTAGTAAGTTTTTTTACTATGTTGTTAAATAACAAAATAATCTTGCCCTTGTTTGGTCTCTTGTGACTATGTACTGCTTCCAATTGGCTGTTAACACATTCGCCGTTATCGCTGCGGCCCATCAACAGGCGCCGAGCACCGTACCCGATCGGGAACGGCTGCATACAAAGTGTTAACTTAAGCTTTTTTCATTACAAGCAATCCTTGAAAATTATACTCGTAGTAAGAATGTCGCTACAAACCACGGCCTCTGTGTTCCACTAACGTGGTTTGACAGGATATTAAAAGCCTCTTGACCAATAAGTACACACCATTCTCACTCAGCTGCCCAGCAAATTTTCTTTTTACCTTGTTTGTTTGGTAGTCTGTTGTCGTATCCCCGGCGCCAATTGTGGTACGCTGTCTGGCCCCAGAACCCATGGTCTAGGTACCACGTGTCCCTCGTTGCAACAATCATTCTATAGCCCAGGGATAGGAGACGATCTACCGTTGGGTCTATGGCATCAGTCCAGGCCTCTATCACATATCTAGAACAGAGATAACATATACAGTCCTACTCTACAAAATGTTTTAGCATTTACTATATATACACTAGTGTATATAGTCAATAGTTTTAGATATTATAACTTAATGGATTTTATAGGGTTAGTGGGTGGCTTAGTTAGTAAAAACTACCTGATCATGCTAAGAGAAAACCTTAAAAGTAGAAAGGAACCCATCTTTAGGAACCAAGGATAACCATAGCCAATCTTGAAATCACCCTTTGTTTGAAGGGCGCTCAATGAGCTTTCACTACCAATATAACTTTAATTAGAACCTAGATATTCCCATTTATAAGCTGTAGCCAGTATTAGAATGAAAAAGAATGTAGTTACATCTAGCCACTGACAGTTTGCAGATGTGCTACAGATAGTACCCCAACCTTTTAAACAAACAAAGTCAATCTAAAAAGAACACTCAGTCTAAACTATGGAATTTAAATATCAAAGTTAAAAAAAATAAAGTATAAATGGAATTTTACAAAGCAGTATGACTCCGGTGAGTAGCTCATTAATCTATGCTGCTTTGGAATAACACTTTATCATTCCTGGTACATAGATGGGACGTGGACTTCAATCCAAAAGACAATAGTATTATTAGTAAACATTGACCCGAAGCAACCAAACAAGCAAACATTCAACGATTTGCCAGATTCAATTTCACACGGACCTGTCCCTATCCAGGTACTGCTGTATGTAGTCAGGGTCAGTCAGATGGCTAGTCCAAAGTACCACTGGGGTCTTAGAGTTGCCCATCTGTTGATCCCAAACCTGCACCACTTTGTTGTGAAACTCCCCCCAGACGTCCAGGAAATCAGCTGTTGACAGTCCTTTGCCGCGAGACTTCATCCAGTTTGTGACCTCTGTAGACTGGTTCCAGCAGGGTATGTACACCTGGAAAACAATTGGGCCATTTAAAACTGGCTGTACTGTACTACAGTTGAAAACATTTTGTAAGGGAATGCTGGAGGGACACGCTATACGTGAGTGGAGTTAAAAGCTTGTAAAGTGACAGCATTTTTTTTGTACTTATCTCTACACTGTGGTTGTCCCAAAAGTAACTTGTTTCTTCATAACAATATTATAATTATATCTTTAAGATGCATAAAACACCACAGTCCTGCTAATCCGAACTGGGAGCAGACCCTGTTCCAACTACTAAATTGTTCAGATTAGCCAGGTAATGTAGTAACATTAAATTACATCAACAAAATTCAAATTTAAAACCACATCTTTTTATGACTATAAATGTCTGTATATTGCTCAATGCTCATGCTACCTCCTGACTGGGGTTATCGTACCAAATTGGGCGATATCAAAATCATTAATAATAGAGGAACACTTTTTCATCTCCAGCGACTGAGTTCTTTTTATTACACAACTACCTTAAAAGCAAACCAATAGAACATCTTGTGAGTTGCCATAGTATATTGGCTATTATTCCAAATTAGCTGGTTCAATGGAAAATTCAGTGTACCATACTGAACAGTGAGTGGGAAACTCATCATCATGTTTGTAGTTGACACACCATTAAAAAATTATTTTGCAAGAAAACCCAATGTTTCCTTAAGGCAAGACATACCTCATCCCCACCCATATGGATGGCATCTGTAGAGAAGTACTTGATGATGTCTTTAAAAACGTCCCCCAGGACATCGTACAACGCAGGGTTGGCTGGGTTCAGTTGGCCACATGGAGGCTGCAGACAGTATTGTCTCCAAGGTTGACGATTGACACAGACAGCAAGGGCTCCTAGACCTGTTAACATAATGATGCGTATGAAGGATTTATTTCTGTCAATTGTTAACAAAATAATGGTGCAAAACTTAAGCAAATTGACTTATTGTTTTTGTTAATGCAGGTGCATATGCGACATTATTAATGCAGTATGTCGTAATTTGCCAAACACCAAAAGCAGCTTCTCGCCAAACCACAACTAGTATGGATTGTGTTCGTATCCTCGAAATTTGGTGTGAACTTCAATGCTCGTGAGTCGCATGTTGGTCTCTTAACCACCATTTGTATCTAACCATTTGTAACATCTCTTTTGGAAAAATTAATAGTGGTGGCACGTATGATAATGAATAGTGCACATTACAGATAAATGAAAAATATTCTACTAAGCATCGTGGTTTGTCTTACCATGAAATTCGCCCCATTGCCAGCCATTGCCAGCGTGAGCCGGCATATCCAGCTCCAGCAATATCCTAACACCCCTGGCACGAGCGTAACCTATCAGATCTGACACATTGGTTAGAGTATAAACCTCCTTCTGGGAGTAAGCACCATACCTAGAACATACAGTACAATGTGATAATAATGCTATCTAGTCTCTATACAATAAAATTTAATGTTCTTTGAACACTTACTTGTGATGTCAAAGATTTTAATGTGTTTGAATATTTAAAGGGGATTTAAAAGTTTGCTTGTTACTTGTTATCAAATAGAATTGGGCTTTTTGGTTATCTTTCAAACATTATCTCAGCTTATTTTTGTTAAAAATGTTAAGACACAAAAAGTTATCAAGGTAAGCTACCAAGAGTACCAAGGTAAGAAGGTATCAAAGTGGTATCATCTAAGGCTGATTTGTCAGACACTACAAGCACATATTATCTATATAATTAATACGCTACATGAAACTTTGTCGGTTGAACTCCTCCGCCATTTCTTAACCGATTTTATCCATTGCCGTCTCATTGGAAAGAGCGTGTCGCGTAGATTTGCAAACTGGCCTTACATTTTTGAAAAAGTCCCTTGGGCTCTGCCCCAATGGCTTTGAAAGTTCCCATGTTATCCTTATGAAGAACATAATTGTTTACATTTTGATCAGCTGTATAGTTTAATTTTTGTTATTTATTTTTCAATTCAATGAAACGCATTGAGTACTTATTTACTATTTGAGTTTGTGTAAACATAACCCCCAAGACGGATAATAATAACCCCCCGGTACGGTAATCTTTGAGTTGACTCTTTTAAACTCATTGTAAATATGACTGTTATTCGTTTTGAAATAACTCCTGTAATACTTTGCAATTGCTCGAATTCAAGCAACATGTACACTAGTTAATATTAATATGCTCACTAAAAAAATAAACGGTATCAGCAATCTGGCTCATACTTTCTCCCATTAGCTTGTCAACAACCTTTATCATGGGTAAACAAGAATGACTAACTATGATTTTAATAGGTAAAATCACAAAAATCGCATAAACTTTTGCACTGTAATTTTTACAGCAATATGGTGGTTGAACAATTTGTTAAGAATTATAAGGACCATAACAGACAAATTTTAATTAGAAGATGTTTTATTTCATTTTTCTGTTTTCTTTTTTTTTATAGGAAAATAACGTATGTTACAATAATTTTTGAACCGTAATTTTTACAGCAATGGGGGTTTGCACTATGTTGTTAAGAATTATAAGGGCTGTCATATATTAATTTAATTCAAAACCGCCTTTTTTTAATATACGATTTTCTCTTATTTTATGGGTTTTTTTTTATGGGAAAATAACATAATTTACAATAACTTTTTAACTAAATTTACAGGCATGGGCTACAACATACTAAATTTTTATCAAAATCAATCGGGCCATCTAAGAGAAAATTATATTTTTTGTTATTTTATGGGTTTTTATGGCAAAATCACCATTAAAAACCAAAATTTTGTAAAAATTTAAAAATGATTAGGGATACCATGGATTAGTACCTACATACCACATGTCTTAAAAATCGGACCACAGGTGTAGTCTGTATCTCTGTACACATACACATTCACACTACCTGATCACAACACAAACCAGTAGTCTATAGAGTTGTTTAACTCACTTGGACAGTTGAGGCACACGCTCCAATACCAAAGGAAAGCTCTGGGAGTCGCTGATGTGCCAATGTAGAACATTAAGCTTGACAGCAGCCATCGCGTCGATGGTTCTCTCCAGTGTACTGAGAGGCAGATAGTGCCGAGCTGAGTCCAGCAGCAGGCCGCGATGAGGGTATGATGGCTTGTCACTGACCTGCTCAACACAATCAACAAGTTTTTAGTTTCTACGATCAAAATCAACAGTAGGGCAGTGGCAGTATAGCAGCTAGGTTTCGCAGTATCTTTGGAAACAATATTCTTCCCGCTGTGATTTTACTTCTTTCAAACTGCTATTTTCTTTAACTTATAAAAAAACAGAAATGATTACCTTGGCAGTAGTGACTACCACAAGTTGTTTGTTTGCAGGGATATAAGTCATTAGTTGAGTTAAAGTCTCAAGGCCATGTCTAGCTCCGTATACAGTCTCTGCCTGAATCACCACCTTCACTTGGTCCCCTGAAACATGTTGTTTATGTGACGATCACACTGCAATCCTCAACAGTTTAGTTACTATGCAACATTGTCAGAGTCTAATAATGTAGTGATTTCCTAAGAATTTGTTTCTCGTATTGGGTCAGTGAGCTCTTAAAATGTAACAGTCTGCCAGGGCATGGATATTAAGACAGGGAGGGTAAACTAGTAAGGTAAGATACTAGAGATAGTAATTAAAAACAATCTTCCTTGGAATATTTATTGTGGCATCTATAAGCCTCTATTTTTACAGGTAAGCTTGCTAAACTATGTCTTAAAATACCATTAGGATTGCTTGAAAATAATTTGATAGGAAGTTAAAGAAATAGGTCAGTAATTTAAACATTAATCTACCAATGGTGTGATTACACAAGGACCGTTCAAAAAGTAACCTCCTGTCATGTTTATAAATAGCAATTATGACCCAAAATTTAACTTTTCCAGGAGTGTCAAATTACCAGAGCAGCAGCGAGGTTTGGTGGAATCAGGCGAAATCACGACACCGGAGGTCAGCATATCAGGAATATTGTTTTGTATGGACCTTTCTTACTAATAACCCCATTGTCAAACAACTCCTTTGCTCATCAAATTTGGTCCAGACACTGAACAAAAGTTGGCCAAGGAATAGCTACGACCCAATGTAAATTTTTTTTGGTAAATTCTTATAGCAACTTGGGTTGCACAATTGGAAGGATTTTCTGTCGTGCAACATGCTATAAAATCTTATGAGCCACTCAGCCACTGTTAATCCCACTACTTACCACTGACCAATCGGAGATTACTTTCCGAATGGCCCCTGTCAATTGAAATAAAATAGGTAAAATCAAACCTTGAATAAAAACAAGACACAATTTGTTTGAACTTTAACGTTCTTTACCTCTAGTCTGAATATCTATTGCATATCCTTCTTCCGTGAGCCAGTTTTGAGTAAGATCACCAGAAGCCGTGACAACATCAATGGAAACTATAGCTCTAGGAGAAGGAATCTCACAACCTTCTTCACACATAATCTGAAGGTCATCTTGAAACCTACACAACCAGAAAATGTTATCTTCATTTCCTTATGTCATTTTGTTAAATGATGAAAATCTAAAACTTATCTTGAGTCATTCCAGTATTGTGGATTTCAAATGGGAACAAGTCTTGATAAAAATACAAGGACTTGGTGTTAATCATTGGAAGTGGAGGATAGAGTTATTCTGGTAAATAACTTTTATTTTTAAAATAATTTTTAGTATCAAGTTGATGGACTGCAGTATTTTTACTTTTCCGGAGACTCAAATTTTTTAGTAAGAAATCTGTTTTGTAATTAAGCTTGACATTAATATTCATTCACAATGGCATTTCCCTGTTTTTTCTTTGTTTATTTTTAAATTCTTTACTGAATGTAGTCAAAAATCAAGTTCACAAATTCCTATTTTTACAAGCTATAATTGAGAGTACTTTCTGGTCATTCGAGTGAAGAGGTGTTTCACCGCATAGGCTTGGAAGTCAGTCACACTTGATAAGTTGAAGCTCACGTCACTTGGGTGAAAGTAGCGTACTTTGTCACTGGAACAAAATAAAGTCATTAAGTAAAAACTGTTTGTCTTACAATAAAAAGTGTGAAAACAGAGCTATATTGTTGGAACAATATGAATAAGGGATTGATTTGTCACATCAAGCAAATTTTCAATATGGGATACATAGGGTCCATGGTTTTGAGGGATTCAAAGGAACATCTACCAATGCATAATTTCAACTTTGAAGCTAAATTTGAATCTTTAAGCAGACAAATATTTTATTGCTTTTTAGGAATTTTTCCAACCCATGAGACCCATACAATTTTTTCTCATCCAGTCAACCTACATCTTAAGGTGGGCAACAAACCATTTGGTTGTATTATATTATCATCACAAAACTTAGAGACATTTTTGTTAATTGGTGAGATTTAATCCAGAGATCTGATGTTTCTGTAGTGAAGGAAGAAAGTTATGTTAACCCAATTCCAGTCACACTGCCAATACTGTCATAAAAAGGTGTATGCTCAACTATGGAATCTACTTAGCCTTTGTTTATTGTGGTTGGCAGTCCTGGTTGTTACTGAAATAAAACTATGTCTGGGTTTTTTTCTAAGACCCTGAACTGTAGTATGTAGGCCTATGGGGTTTTGTTCTAAAGACCCTGAAAATTTGAATGACGCAGAATTCAGATGTTAAGTTGTTGTTGCAACTCTTTTAGTCTTTTGAATATTCATACACAAGCTTTGTTGCAATACTCAATGCCACATTAGATATTGAACAACAATGTTACTTAAGCATAACCTGCACATCATGAGCTATAATAGTTAAGCTTGAGTATTATTGTTTGAAAAAAAAAAAACGTTCGCCTTTCATCCTACAAGAATAGATCCTAACAACAAAATTGACTGTACCTGATGGCCACAAATCCAGTAGGCAGAGGCCACAGTGATCCAAAGTCACCACAAGTGAGCCGACACTGCTCCAGGGAGTTGGACGGGTCTGGGTTGTCCGGGTTGTCTCCTCGGACACACAACTTGTTGACACACTGCCATGACCACGCCTCCCTGACAACATGTTAATGTCTTGGTTATTAAAAAGTACACTGCTCCAGGGAGTTGGACGGGTCTGGGTTGTCCGGGTTGTCTCCTCGGACACACAACTTGTTGACACACTGCCATGACCACGCCTCCCTGACAACGTGATAATGTCTTAGTTATTAAAGAGGATACTGCTCCAGGGAGTTGGACGGGTCTGGGTTGTCCGGGTTGTCTCCTCGGACACACAACTTGTTGACACATTGCCATGACCACGCCTACCTGACAACATGATAATGTCTTAGTTATTAAAAAGTACACTGCTCCAGGGAGTTGGACGGGTCTGGGTTGTCCAGGTTGTCTCCTCGGACACACAACTTGTTGACACATTGCCATGACCACGCCTCCCTGACAACATGATAATGTCTTAGTTATTAAAAAGTACACTGCTCCAGGGAGTTGGACGGGTCTGGGTTGTCCGGGTTGTCTCCTCGGACACACAACTTGTTGACACATTGCCATGACCACGCCTCCCTGACAACATGATAATGTCTTAGTTATTAAAAAGTACACTGCTCCAGGGAGTTGGACGGGTCTGGGTTGTCCGGGTTGTCTCCTCGGACACACAACTTGTTGACACATTGCCATGACCACGCCTCCCTGACAACATGATAATGTCTTAGTTATTAAAAAGTACACTGCTCCAGGGAGTTGGACGGGTCTGGGTTGTCCGGGTTGTCTCCTCGGTCACACAACTTGTTGACACACTGCCATGGCCATGACCACGCCTCCCTGAGAACATGTTAATGTCTTGGTTATTAAAGAGTTAATATTAAAGCTAAGGGGAGTCTCGGTCAGGTTTGGTGTTATGTAATATGATTTCTATTGTACTGTCAAATATTTCTTCAGCTGTTTTATTTAAGACTGTTTTGTTTATGTATGTTGTTTACTGTTTTGTGCAATTCTCTCATGTAAAATGTAGCTGATTATTAAGTTGAATAAAACCATATCAATTTGGTTTCTAAACATTTGCTTTCACAACAATTTATTCAACTTAATCTTTTAACTATATTATTACAAGTTCTTCTATACAAGTTCTATTCTATCTTTTCTATTCAAGTTATTTATTCCAAGAAATCTAAATGGATAAATACTTCAAGCCTGAGCGCCTATCTTTGGACCCTAATGACCCCCATTCTGATCGTCAATGGAAACATTGGAAAACCACTTTCGAGAATTTCATGGAAGAAATATGTGCTGCAGAAGATGATCTACTAAAACTTCTATCTAATTTTGTGGACTACAACATATATGAAATAATCTCAGAGGCTGATTCTTATACTGAAGCTATATCTATTCTTGACAAACTTTTTATAAAGCCTACTAATGAGGTATATTCGCGTCATCAACTAGCAACTAGAAGACAGGAACATGGAGAAAATATTGATCAGTATCTTCGAAAACTCAAAGAACTTAGTAAAGCATGCAACTTTAAATCTGTCACTGCTAATGAAAATCGCAACGAGTACATAAGAGACGCTTTCATTCGAGGATTAATATCACAGTCCATTCGACAAAGACTTCTTGAAAATCTAACTTTGACTCTTGAAGAAGCTTATAATCAAGCCACTACCTTGGAATCAGCTGAAAATCAGGCAGTTTCATATATTTCAAGCCCTTGTAACTCTATATCTCAGTCAACTCCTAAAAATGTTGATGTTACTGATACAAATGTTTCTCAGGCAGCTTCTGATTCGTCTTCACACCAATTATCCTCGATAAGAAGAGAAAAATGTTTCTTTTGTGGACGGTCACGACACTCTCGAGCCAACTGTCCTGCCAAAGACTCAGTTTGTAATATTTGTGACAAGAAAGGCCATTGGGCAACAGTTTGCAATTCTCGCAACCAAGGTAGGGCATTTAAGGGTAAAACAACTCAAAGTGAAAAGACAGAAATAAACTCAATGTCTTCTTCTCTTGTTGCTGCCTCACAAAAATGTCTTTCAAAAGCTACAGTATCACTGATGTTAAATGGCAAACCAGTAGATGCACTTATTGATACTGGGAGTTCCGACAGTTTTATATCTGAAGCTACTGTGAAAAGATTCAATATTTCTAAATACCCGACAAAGCATGAAATATCGATGGCATCAACAAGCCATGTTTCATCAACTCTTGGCCACTGTATTGTTGACATGGTGTGCGATGGCCACGAATACCCACAGACAAAGCTGCTCGTCTTAACTGATTTATGTGCCGATGTTGTAATTGGACATGACATCCTTCGGCAACATTCTGCTGTGGAGCTGAATTTCGGTGGTAAACGCCCACCCTTCAACGTTTGCAATCTACTTAGGGCTAAAGTATCACCCCCACCACTGTTTGATAATCTAACTAATGACGTCAAGCCTGTAGCCATCAAGTCCCGCCGCTACTCTGAAGATGATAGTAAGTTCATAAAAAGTGAAGTAAGTAGGCTTATATCAGAAGGAATAATTGAACCGAGTAAATCACCTTGGAGAGCCCAAGTGATTGTGGTCAACAATGGGCACAAGAGACGTCTGTGTATTGACTACTCTCAAACCATCAACAAATTCACACAGCTTGACGCCTACCCTCTACCTCACATTGAATCATTTGTCTCTAAGCTTGCTCAATATAAAGTGTTCAGTACAATCGATCTGAAGGAGGCATATCACCAAATACCTATTCGGAATGAAGATAAACCATTCACTGCATTTGAAGCTAATGGGAGACTTTACCAATACACTCGAATTCCTTTCGGCGTAACAAATGGTGTGGCGTGTTTTCAAAGAACTATTGACCAGATTATAGAAACTGAAAATCTACTAGACACATTTGCATATCTGGACGATGTAACTATTTGTGGTCGTAGCCAAGCAGAACACGATCAAAACCTACAGAGATTCATGGAAGCAACTAAAAAGTATAATCTTACCCTGAACAAAGAAAAATCTAAGTTTTCGTTGACCAGCATTCCAGTTCTGGGGTACATTGTAGAAAACATGTCCATGCGTCCTGATCCTGACCGCTTGCAATCACTCTTGAATTTCCCCGTTCCAACTGATAATGCAAGCCTTAAAAGAGCTCTTGGCATGTTGTCCTATTACGCAAAGTGGATTCCTAAATTCTCTGAGAAGGTTCATTGCCTTACTACAGTCAAATCATTCCCAGTAGGCAGTAAAGAAATATTGGCTTTTAAGACATTAAAAGAAGAAATAGCGAACTCCAGTATGTCTGCAGTTGAAGAAAATATTCCATTTACTGTAGAAACAGATGCATCTGAATCAGCTATAGCGGCTACCCTTTCACAAGCTGGAAGGCCAATATGTTTCTTTTCAAGAACCCTAACTAAGAGTGAACAACATCTACCTGCTGTGGAAAAAGAGGCCCTCGCAATATTCGATTCAATACAGAAATGGAGGCATTTCCTGATTGGAAGACGGTTTAAATTAATTACAGACCAGAAATCTGTGTCCTATATGTTCAATCAGAAACACGCGGGAAAGGTTAAGAACAACAAGATTTTAAAGTGGCGATTGGAACTAGCACCTTTCTCTTACGACATAGTGTACCGTTCTGGCAAGGAAAACGTAGTAGCAGATGCATTTTCACGAGTTTCATCTTCCATCTCTTGTAGAGATTTCGAAAAACTCCGTAGAATTCATTGTGACATTGGACATCCTGGAATAGTACGAATGGTTCATTTCTTAAAAAGTAAAAATCTCCCTTACTCTATTGAAGATGTCAGGCGAATGACTGCGTCATGCTCTGTTTGTGCGGAAGTGAAACCTCGGTTCTATCAAAAAACCCCATCAACACTCATCCATGCAATGGCTCCTTTCGAGAGACTTAACATTGATTTTAAGGGGCCAATACCATCTGTGACAAGGAATAAATATATACTGACGGTTGTTGATGAGTTTTCAAGATATCCATTTGCTATTCCTTGCTCGGACACATCAGCATCTTCTGTCATCAAAGCACTTACATCAATCTTCACCATCTTTGGTATGCCTGCTTTTGTCCACTCCGACCAAGGTTCTGCTTTCATGTCAAAAGAACTGAGTGATTTCTTACACTCTAAAGGAATCGCCACTAGCCGATCTTCACCTTACAACCCTCGAGGTAATTCTCAAGCTGAGCGATATAATGGAACGATTTGGAAGACTGTATCTCTTGTTCTGAGAAACAAGGGACTGAAGACAGAACAGTGGGAGTATGTTTTGCCAGAAGCTTTGCATTGTATACGCTCGTTACTATGTACAGCTACAAATGAGACCCCACATGAACGTCTTTTCAAACACCAGAGACGATCATTTTATGGCACCTCTCAACCTCAATGGCTCATGAATCCAGGACCAGTATTAGTGAGAAGGCATGTAAGAAATAACAAATATGAACCTTTAGTGGAACAAGCTCAGCTGATAGAGGCTAATCCAGACTATGCTCGCATCAAGTATAGAGATGGTAGAGAGGCTCTGGTATCGGTGCGACATCTCGCTGTTCCTCCTGAAGCTATCCAACAAGAGGATGAGCCAGTGACTTCAGAAAATCCCAGTCAAGAACTAGATCCTGTTCTTCAAGACCTAAAACGTGAATCAAACCTGCTTCAATCTGAAATCGAAACATCTCCACTGAATGAGACCGTGACCCCTACTTCTGTGAGGGATAACGAAGAAACAAACCTGCGTCGTTCCACTAGAGTCCGAAGACCTCCCACCTATCTAAGGGATTACATTTAAAAAAAAAGATGGGGTGAATGTTATGTAATATGATTTCTATTGTACTGTCAAATATTTCTTCAGCTGTTTTATTTAAGACTGTTTTGTTTATGTATGTTGTTTACTGTTTTGTGCAATTCTCTCATGTAAAATGTAGCTGATTATTAAGTTGAATAAAACCATATCAATTTGGTTTCTAAACATTTGCTTTCACAACATTTGGTTTGCGGCTCATGAGGTCATGAGGAGTACCAAAAAAGTGATGGACGCTCAAGTGGAAGTTGATAGGATGGGTGAATTAGTTTTGAGTTGTACCTAAAATCTGGCAATTTCCTTGTTTTCCTTGTATGTATTCACTGAAAACTTGAAGTAACAGCAATTGGATTATGGTGTCAAATTAAGAATAAGATCGAATGAAATGGTGAAGTTAGCATGGTTGAATAATCACTAGAAGTAATTTAAGGCTGCCGCTATAATGTTTCTGTTTTGCTATCAATGTCCCAAACAAGGCTCTCGGAACAGTAACATGGCCACTGATCATATTGCACCTTTCCTTTTCTTAAACAGGTGTTGTTAAGCATTTAAAACAAAGTTGTCGACCCAGCCTAGTTTAAAAGTTTAATAAAGCAAAGTTTAAAACTTCTATTTTACAATAGAATCTGCTATTCATTCATTAACAAATCTGAGGGTGAACTCGCATCTGGATCAGAATACACAGTTACAGTAACAGTTTTAAGTTACTTGCATTGTTTGATTAAGAGATTGTAACATCTAAACAACACCAATGATTCTTATAACTCAACATCTGACCAATCAATGTGTGTCAAGAGTTTGATACCTTTATCACCTACAGCTCTTGAAATAGAGTGTTTGATATGGAGGTTGGTAAATCATTACATAAATTTCAATTGAAATTATGCATGGTATAATTAATTCTCAGTGGAATGGTATAGGGCATTCAAAGAACTAAATTCTTGCTGATTGAATTTTAATTTATATTAATTTGAAATTTTTTTTCATTTTCATGTTTGTGCAGAAAAACCTTGTACGGTTATTGTACCTATTGTATTGCATGCATGTATTCGTTTTTTATAAATAAATTTATTGATTGATTGACACATTGTAATCTCTAGTAATTAAATCATTGTCATAGATGATGTCCAGTGGCAATTTGAATACTGCTTGTTCATATGATGAAAGCTTGGTTGCCATCTTTTAGGAAATTATAAACTATGAAACTTTAAACGAAATGGTGCTAGTCATTTAGGATGAACAAACACTTTTTGGTTCTTAATTATTAAAATTTGTATATAATTTTTCATCCTTTAAATTAAATAACGAACATAACCATGAACAAATTGAGGTTAAGTACAAAAAATTAAACACAAATTCTTGCTGAGTTCCAATTATTCATTGGAGGCAAATTATTGGTCCCCAACGGCTCACTCAAGTAATTCACTTTAAAGTATTCCCTTTATTATTATGTATTCTAAAGAAAATTGTGCATCCCTTCATTCCTGTTAAATTACTGTTCAAAAATTTATGAAACTTTTGTGATTTAGATTTTACCTATTAAATATCATATTTACTCACATCGCTTACCCATAGTATAGGTTGTTGACAAGCTAATGGGAGAAAGTATATGTCAGATTGCTGATACCATTTATTATGTTTGTGTTCGTGTCCGTATTGTGTTCTGGTAGTTTCAATGTGACGAATTCGTGTGAATGAAAATTTCTGACTTCCTTTGACACATGAATATAAACCCCCCTGAGGGCAGAAACTGCAGTAGGGTATTACTACTCCAAGGATCGCCTGACTGTTAAGGTATTTAAACCATTGATTAATTAACTGAAGTGATTCGGAGGCTAACATTATGATATTATGCAGATTTGCTGCTTTGGGGAAATATTGGGAGACACTGAGTAAGTTAGCCAAACAAATATCCTTACAGTATAATTATTTAGGCCTAATGCCAATGCGCAGGCTTGAAGACTATTGCTCTTGTTATTCGTATCTGATAACGACACGATCATAATTAATTAATTGATTGGGTAAGGTGTTTGCGTGATGACGAAATTAGGAAGGCTGTGTACAACAATAGTGTAGTTAAATCAGACAGTCCTTGAAACGATAAGCGTTTCCGGTTTGCGATCAGAGCGCGCTCTACGTCCGGAACTGACTTGTCAATCAGCTGACAATCAAGTTACATAGAGGAAAAACACCCCGAAACAACCATGGAGTATGGATACGGTTAAATGGAACTTATTGGTTCTGTGTCTGATAAAAAGTCTTTGTGTTGAGCTATAACCGAGAACTGATAAACAATTAATGATCTCTGACCTAGCTAACAAAAAGCTTACACCGTTTTGACACAGTCAATTTTATTTTCTTGATCAAAATTGTAAATCAATAATCATAAAATATATTGGAGCTCGTCAAATGAATGTTGGTGTTACTATGTCTTATTATTGATAATTCTTAACAGTCGGAATAAAAAATTTGTTAGAAAAATATACAAATTAGGAATTAAATATGTCATAAGTATTAACCCAACCCTCTTTAACGACAATTAAACTATTGGTATATGACAGCTATATTGCATTAAATTTTTAATTTTAAATCATGTTTCATATCAAATACGGCTAAAATTAGGGCGTATTGAGGCTCAAACTAAGCTGCATATTTCGTGAGTATCCAATTTTTTCACAACTCATTTTGTAATGGCGTTTGAACTCTTGCTACACGATAAATTTCACATGAATTCCCAAGCAACAAGATTTTCAACATTTACAATTTGCAGTTATTTATGAAGGTGCTGAATTGAATATTACACACATTTCTTTAGAATTATCTTTCTTAGTATGGTACTAGTGTACTTGACTTGGTGCTTTGGCTCAGTGGCTTCATTAGCATGGAAGGTCCAAATCTTCGTTTATAGCTTAAAAAACATCAATTTTACTGTTAAATGGTATTATATTTTTTACCAACCTAATCTTGTCAGTATTTAAGACCTATAAGCTACATGCTTGAACAGTTCACACATAGTTTGGTGAAGCCATATTAAGCTGGCATACTTTTCGAAACATACGATGAAAAACGTTTTCAGATTTAAGGATTCATGATCCAAGGTTAAATACAAAATCGATTTAAGGTTAAGTGATGAAATAGCAATACTTACGCTCGTTGACTGAAGATCACTGCTGCACATATAACTGCAGTTACGCCAAGACCTCCCATGACGTAAACTGAAAAATATGCTCTCATCACATCTGCAATTTTGACGCAAAGTTCTGATCATAAATCTTACTCACATTGTAAAATATAAACAAACTATGGTTGTTTACAAACACTTCCATATGGATATTAATAGAGAAATATCGTATCGAACAAATATTGGAAATGGATTTGGTGGCTAAACTTTGCTTTAAGAATGTACGTGTCGTGGCTCTTAAATGAACATTAAGTGCAACAACCAATTACCTAATTCCCTCTAAAAATGTCAAATACATTTAAATCGTTGAAAAAGGCCAAATAACTCAAAAGTATACAGTATTTTTCTAGACAAATACCAACTACGTTTGAGTAGCTACTACTGGTACCTACGACAGTTTTTTCTTTTAATTACTAATTACTATCACTGCTCCATAACTTCAAGTTAGGTTATATACATCGATGCTTCAAAGAGAGGTTATGACGTTTTCGTTTATAACCTCACATTGCCACTGACAGTGATGCAACGAATCATATCAAACAATCATTAACAATTAAATTGGCCTGAACAGCTGATTATTTGAAATTCGAAGCATTACTTGTTTTCTCTAATACTAAGAACTGAAGTGAAACAGCTAGTTTAAAAACGGTCGTAGGTAAAGTAGTGCACGCAACTCTCGTAAATAGATGACACTCTTAGACGTTTTTCAAATTTCTACTCTTGTTGTTAACACTATCTTTACGCGAACGTTTCGGAAACTACTACAGTATAGGACTCGGACCAGCTACGTCAATTGTTTATGTTTATGATCCATACCGCTTTATGCACTACCGGTAACGTTCGTGAGTTTCCGGTCAAATTAAAGAGAGTTTCTATTCTAACAAATATTTCTGTTCTAATATCCGGGGTTCTAACAATTTATCCCTGGCCCAATAAATATATTTCCTTTGCTTTTTAGATACCGGTACTATAGAAGATATCCTGTCCAAATGAACTATGTGTGTAGGGAGGCACAATTGTCTAATTATTTTAACAATAAGTTGTCATTTTGGCTTTGCATTATTATTAGTGTAACAAAAAGAGAAAACTGTTTTACATAAGCTTACTCTGGTGGTGGTACAACTGAACTACGTTGTTTTATCTATCATTTGATTAGGCCTAACACATAGGCAAAAATATCTTCGCAGTACCTCTACTGTAAGTTAAGGTTAAAACAAAATGCAGTTAATGTATTGAAAATGTGTATTACAGGTAAAATTACATACAGCAATGCAATCGTAGTGTTTATGTTTGGGTGTTTAAGTAAAACCATGTAGTAAATTTTGTTTACTTATTTTAAAACATCACCATTCGTAAAATAATGCTCCCTAACCATTGCACAGTACTTACCAATTAATGCAGGATTTTGTTTACATCTTAGCACAAACTGTCTAAAAAGATACATTGTTCCGAAACGAACGCAACGTAAAGTAGGTTAACGTCATGTGACTACCATCCTAATCTGACTCAGCTGCAGAAATCACATGTGTTTCACACAACACCTGATTCCTATTAAACAGCTGTTTCATTTCAGTAAATGAATTGTTGTGGTTTATAAACCTGAATCACAGCTTAGAAACATTAACTTATTTGCTCTTGTTCGACGGTTCTGACTCAAGAAAAAGCTGATCTTAAGTCAGTAACAAAGCTATACGCATTATCTCATTTCATTCAACCCTGATCTTTTGCTCATATTTGAGTTAAAATGCTCCCAGTTTTGACCCATTGTAATCTGTATTATAATTAGTAGTAATAGTAATAATCTGATGAAAAGACAACATATAACAGTAAATAATATTAATCAAATAGTATTTTAATTTATATATTATGTAAGTGTATAGGAATGATTATGAATCCGTGTAAAGTATTTCTCAGAAACCAATTAAGAGTTTCAGATAATTCTAATCCAGAAGTAGGCCTACATCTATCATGTTGGCTTTGGAAAATATTTTTTAATTTAGTTTTTTTGGAATGTGTGTTGGGTTAAGGATTTCCAGACTGCATAACCTCTTGGGCTAAAACATGTTTATATTTGAATTTAATTGGATTATAGCTTGGAACTCCAAGATTTATTGGGATGAAAAAGCACCATCTTTGAATTGGCCTTTGTCCCAAATGAGGCTTAAAACAAAAACGTATAATTTTGAATTATTATTAAAATTTGTGGTCGATGTATTTGAAAACCACCAATCAAAGTATCCTGCCATCTTTTAGAATAACTCGGATAAAATGTAACCTGAAAATATTAACTAGTGTATAAATGTACTGTAAAATTGTTCCATGGGTTTGTGATTAGGTTAATAAGTATTTTGTTTACACTTTATGCTATTATTTTTTACAAACTATAAAAACTACATGCCTAATTAACAATTGGATCCAAAAAGTATGTTGGAAACACGTTTTAAACACAGTGTTCTTCGTCATTCGAGTTAAGGTTTAGCTTTCATATCTTTAGTATGATTCCATAGTTCTTATATTATCTGAAACCATTAATTTTGGATACTAAACTGCAGTGCCATCCATCATCAAAGCTGAGACCAATCTACCGAGCGATTTTAAGGTTCTCTCTTTAGCTGCAGGACAAATTTATTTGATAGCAAAGACTAAATCAGGTAAGTATACTACAATTTTGCAAACAGTGTAATACTGTAGCAGTATTGAATCGCGATCGGATGCAGTAGAATGCAGCACTTCTATCTGAGAGTTCCGGGTTAAATCCCCGTCAATCACTAATGTTTTTATCAATGTGACTAGGTAGTTTAGAGCCCACTTTAAGTTACATGAGCTTTAAAGCACTTAAGATTTATACTTTACAGATAAAGTCCACATATCTAATAAACAATAGCGAGTAGATCTATCAAATAAGAAAAATATTCTGTTTTAGAGAATTTGTTCCACTAAAAGCCACACAAATTTATAACACCTAGCCTATAGCATTTATAAGATTTGGTTTTAAATTGTACAGTTGCAGTGCTAATTACTTTGGAAAAGGTTATTTACGACCGAACAAATGAGAGACACTGCATCAGCTGATCGTAACCTTATTTTCAAGCGTACACGTATTACGTGCCTAAAAAAAGTAAACTATTTTGTGTTGTTTGGTTGGAATACTGGAGTGCGGCGAAAAAAGAGTGTGACAAAAGTAAGTAAATGCAGCAACTTGCTGTGCTATAATCAGTGCAAGAAAGTCCACTTTGTCAGATGACTGTAGGAAAACAGTATTGTGTAGATGTTTCCATTGACTCTTTTAGGCACAGATTGCTAATGGTGTTTGTTTCATAGTGTGTTTATAATTATGGCAAACTCTTCCACCTGAGTTACGAAATCTTTATTTTACCACTCTATGAAACACAATTAAGCAATAAATAAGTAGTTAAAAATCCATGTATATAAATAAAAGTGTGTATTGAATGCATATGACTATGAAGAGTTGTACTTATTTTCACGTATCATAGCCAAAATATACAGACTTTACTGATCTCAATTGTTGCCCTTCTGTTAGTTTAGATGTCACTTAAGATGGCAATTTAAGCTGGCTACTTTGGGAAAACTAAGGACCCAACACGATTCAACTATTTATCCTGTGTTAACTATATTTTCTAGAATGTTTTTAGGTTATTTCAACCTGTCCTAACTTATAGTAAATAGACTAATTTACAAAATTCAGTAGTTTTACTATTAACATTAAACACAATTATTTCCTCCTAAGTTTTACGGCATACATCATCCTTCTAATTCAAATGTAAGGATTAGGAAAATATTTATTATTGTAATTGTATAGGCCTAATTAATATATGTAATAATAAATATAATCATTCATCATTTTTTTAATAGGGCTATTAAGTTATTTATTATAAAAATTGTCGCTGAAATGTTTTCGTTGTAGGATTAATGTAAGTTAATTTGTAAAAATGTACGTGATAGAAATTTGAAAACTTGAAGGTGAAAATTTTTTTCGGTGAACTAAATAGCAAATTTGTTGGCCATAAACTGTTTACATGTTTTTTACATGACAGATTTGTATTATAATTTTCTTTTGCACGTTATTTTATATACATATTTTTTAATATGAATCATAAAATTTATACTAAACTAACTGATACGTTTGTTTATTCTATGAGAATGTCATTGCTTATATTCATAAAATTCTACATCCAATTTTAATTAAAGATTCTTTTGTGGCCACTTTTACGTATGTTTAATTTTCATTCAAAATTCATATCCTGTTTCAAAGCCCATTTAAAGCCACTACTATAATTTTATTGAAAAATTTTCTACTGATATTTTTCATCCCAAACCTGAAATCGTTTCAAAATCCTATCTTTAGGTAGAAAATTGCACCCAGAACACAAAACCGAAACGTAGTGCATTTTACTTTAATCGTGATGGTAAATTTCATAAAAGAAGTCAACATCACCGAAAATCAACTCCAAATAAAGTTAACTTATGTACAGTGTACATACCTGTAGTACCGGTAGTAAACAAACTTCGACCTATGGTTACAACAATCACTAAACAGCTGATTGACTGCGCCTGACCCCTGCCTAGGCGCAACTGACAACAGCTTGACTGGGAGCAGTCACTAGTCTAACCCCCTCTTCCGCTGAGTATCATTATCACTTTGCCTTCATCCTAGTCACTATCACTATCAATGTGTTTATTTGTTACACATTGGCGTTGACTGTAGTTAATCTGTTAAAAACCTTTGTTGAATTAACCCGCTTCGAAATAGTATGGTTATGGTAGTAATTGTAACAGCTGTTTTAACTTATATAAAATTATGTTGATACTCGGCTTATACTTGTTTATTTATACAGCTTATACGGCTTATACAGCTCATTTCAGGCAGAGATTTTATGAAGCTAGGACAACATACATATGGGGAATAATCTTAATCAAAATAACAATGACCTTTAAAGAATATATATATTTTAGTTTCAACTAAACCTGTAGTTGGAAATCGTAGTTTGGCAAATGGAGCCAGCAGCTTTGACGTTTTGTAGAAATGGGCCTGACGCTCTATCCAAAGATACACCAATTGGGGGAAATGTATAGAATATGTTATCACACTAATTTGATGAGAAAATAAGTATTTATATTGGTATAGATTTATTTAACTTCATAACCCACAGGTCAACTATTAAAAGTTTATAAGGAAATTCATCGGAAATCTATTTTCATCGAGGATAACATTAACCACATGTTATCCAAAATTGGATTAAAATTATTTATTTTTATTCTCCATGAATGTATATTTATGCGTCCATGCGCATTATAACACTCTTGAGTTCTCCGGTTTAAAAAATGTTGTGTCAACGTGTCTCCTAAAATGCTTTTGCATTAGTTCATTGATCGGCCTGATATCATTTTATGTTGAACCCAACGTCTGTTTTTAAAGATTTTCATCCAAACTTATATAATATTAAATTTTGTCTACATTCAACTAGTTTAACAAAAAAGTCGTCTAAAATTCAAACTATCGCAGAAGACAGAGATAGACTGTCTGACAACCTGAGAATATTCTCAGGTTTATTTTACGGTAAAAAGTAATAAAAACACACATTAGTACCTTGTATTGATAATAATGTTATTTACGTTATTCGTGTATCTAATAAAGTTCTCTTTTATTAACCTGTACAAATGAGTATTGGATAAAGCAATATTGGAATAGCTCAAATTCAATGTGTCAATCCAACATCAACATCCTTTTTTGAAACCCAATAAAAACCGATTATCTGAACAAACACATCGATTATTTTGTTGGGTGAGGCAGGTAGGCTACATGGAAAATAGCAATTTGAGGTTAGGTTCGCTACAGACAGAGCCTGGAGCTAGTAGATTACAGCGGATTAATCATGTGTTTTCGTGTGGTTTTCAAGGTCAGCGGATGATTCAAGTTTCCTTTGTCTTCATCCACAGATTTCACAGTAATTTGTTCAATCAGAATTTGTAAAAAGTCCCAGAGAGTGTAAATTATATTCCAATACCCTTCGATTCTACATTACGGTACATTATTTTGTGGCAACACGTAGTATATTCAATTGAGTTTTTTAGATTCGTGCAACATTTCAAATTAAAAAAAAAAAATATGTTTAATTATTTTCAACAGAAGAAAACACATTTTTTTATGAATTTTTACATGACCAAGATAAAGAACCCTCAAATGATATTTTAGGATAATACTTTGATAGAACTCAATCAATGCTTAATCCTTGATCTTTTAGAAAAAATCCACTAAAAACTTAAAGCCTTTTACTACCAGTTTTCATGATAAATGACTATTTTCAAATTGTATATTCTAATAAGGGTTAATTTATAAAATAATTTTGTGCATTTAGGTATTATATCTAGGAAAAACAATAACAGTAATATTTTACAGCAAACACACTAGAGTTTGTCAACAATAAACTCTAATACGATAAAATAACAAGTTACAAATTGGATGATAATTGTTGTACCAATTTAGATCGTGGTTTTGAGAATAGACAAGTATAAATAGCGTTCAAACAAAACAAAACTTTGGTGATAACCTATGGCATCAAGGAATTCCTTGAATGACGTTTAAATACTGGGAAATAGTTGATAGCTATTTATTAATCTACTGTAAATGTTATCTTAAGAAACGATTCATACGAGAACTAATCGTTTACGATTTAATAGGCAAGAACTAGATTTTGCAATAACTTGAGCAAAAAAAATTGTTTTGAAAGTTAAAGCACCTTGAGCTTCGGACTACTTGTTCGTGTGTTGAAAGGATGGTGTTAAATGATCTTTATTTCTATTCCTTTCCATGTTTTATACTATTACATTAGACTAATCCAAACATTTATGTTTCAAGTGTTTTATTTCCCGAAGCTGGTCGAATCGTAATTACCTTTTAATTATCTATGCTCCTCACATTCTCTTTCTGAAGTCGATGTTGGATTACAGATCATGAAACGTTAAGAAAAGTATGTTCAAACACTGATGGAAAATGGCAGCAATAATCCTTCAACCAGCAGTAAATCAGCTGTATAATACTCTGATTGTCTTGAATCGTAAATCGACCAGACAAAGATCGAAAGTTACCCCGCGAAGATGGATACTTTCTACATCAGTAAGCAGGTCAGGTAGGGAATCCCACTTGAGCGAAAGTCTGTGGAAAATCGGTGATAACATCTACACAATTCCACACAGTTGCTGGGTGAGTTACACGATGGTCTAATGGACAGGTCGGGTTATAACGTTACTGTAAAGGAAACCTAAGTAAATTATATTTGAGTTTAGAAAACATTGATAGTATAATTCAAATTAAATTTAGCAAATATGCGACTTATTTTACAGGAATATTAAGAAGGAACTGCAAGATTTTATATTAATTTTGCATGTTTTTTTAATGATACTTTGTAATTTATTGGGCTAGAGTGTAGGTGTTTTTGTTATATTATTAAATAATTTAAATGGTTTAAATTGAAATCAAACTACATAACATTTTGCATTTTATACTGTATATTAAGATTAAACTATTTAATGCGAAGCACTTGGGTCTTGAAGCTGATTTTCCGAAATGACATCGATTGAAATTTGAATACCTCGGTGTACCGTATGGAGGATGTCTGTAACTGTAGTACAAAAGAATACGTAGGAGCTCCCACCAAAGTTGTTGACCCTAGACCTACGTTATTTTCCTTCTGGTCCAATACACTGCATCAATATCGAACATAACGTCACACGGACAAAACTTAACATGGACATAACGTCACACGGACCTGTATCATGGACACAACTTCACACGGAAAAAAAGTAACATGGACATAACGTCACATGGACAGAACGTAACATGAACACAACGTCACACAGACAAATACCCCCGCCGCAGCAAACCTGCCGTCTGAGCGAATTTCCATTTGGCCGAATTGATTTTCAATTGATCTATTTAAATAACATTATTAGGTTTAACGAGTACCTAGGTTTGCTGCTACAAGGAAACTAATAAAGTAGTGTGTTTTTAGTAAAATATTGATAGCTTACTATAAAATAAATAAATTTGCCAACTTTGATCAAAATATATCCATAAACAAGCAAACTACAACATTTTACAATATTCTCCATAAGAATAACATGGGAATTTTAAATTTACCATTTTTTTAGTTTTCTCCGTAACTAATAACCGTACAAAAACACTTTGATATACTGAATTGTTTGTTTTTTTAAGCTCTTTAAGAAGGTTTAGAGAAAAATTGGGAAATTTTGTGTTTTGAGGGTAAAAAGTGAGAAAAACTCATTTTTACCCCATAAAACCCTGTTCCCATGGTCCGATCATGCTGGATCGCGAACTCATTCAAGTTTATACCGCCTTACACCTTCAAACCAAATTTCATCAAAATCGGATAAAAATTACTCAAGTTATCGTGTTCACGGACACATATATATATATATATAAATCTATATATATATCTATATATATATATATATATACACATATATAAAAATTTGAACGAATGGTATTTTTGGCCTCTGGGGACATTAAAATGAAAAAGTAAATCGGTCCCGGGCCTAAGTCTTACCATGAGACCTACGGTAATAGCTACTTCCCTATAGGGAAATTCGCTAAAAGTAACATGGACATAACGTCACACGGACAAAACTTAACATGGACATAACGTCACACAGACCTGTATCATGGACACAACTTCACACGGACAAAAAGTAACATGGACATAACGTCACATGGACAGAACGTAACATGAACACAACGTCACATGGACCTTATGGGTTGCCATGTTGGTGACGATATAACTATGCAATATAAACAGAAAATCAAAACAAATTAAAGAAATTCCAATCACATGTTTTATTTACAGTGTGGGGTGAAAATAGGGAAGTCTTTAGATTACACCATTTTTGGTAGATTTTTCGACCACCTGACGACCTCTAGTAATAAAAAAGTCTTTTAATTTAAGTGGTTTTCAGTAAGATTTTTTTTTAAACTACTCAAGTCAATAGAAATGAAAAATATTACAATAATTAATTAAATGTTTTATTATCTCATCAAATTTATAATATTAGTAAGATTGATAGTGAATAAATACCCACGTGAAGAAAACTTAACAAATAAAATAAGTAACAGACGATAATCCTGTTCTCTCCATGAAAAAATTACGATTTTCACATAACGGGGTTTTAAGTTGGGAGGGTGGTTGCAGAGTAGTATACAATATATTTTTTGGCATTAAAAGCGAAAACCCTTTAAATAGTTTCATGCCGATGTTATTTAAGGGAAATAATCAGGCATTTAGTATATTCTGGCACAAGCTAAGTAAACTTCACTAAGAACTGTAGATATACACTGTGAAATTTTTTACATTCCACAGTTAAGACAATTTTTATTGGGATCTTTCACAAACAAGCCTAAAACTGTTTTAATATACACATTTTAAGTCAGTTTCGTTCTTTCCCTTCACACCGTAATTTATTGAAAGACGTTGAGGTTTTTTCCTGAAGTCATCTTAGATCCTTAGAATATAGTTGATTTATTGACTGCTTATCTAAATGTAGATGTCTTTGAATCCACTTGCGAACCCACTCCAAAGTTTTTCCCGGGTTTTCCTCGTTGGGGCCGTTGAAAAGCGTGTTTTGTAAGCATTTGGCCTATATGCGGGTCCTCCAGATGATGAACATTTACGTAAGAATAGTTTTAATTACTGTTGCCGTATGACACCTGTGATTTCGCAAACCACGATACACTGAGTTTTAATTTGGTGTAGAAATTACTACTGAAATACTATTGGTTGTAGCTTACTCAGCTTCTGTGTTAAAGAGTGCTATTGGAATTGTGTAAATTCACTTGAATGTGTGTCTAATTAGATAAACTACACACAGAGATTGGCATTCAAAAGGCTTAATTTATAAACAGATATAGTAATCACATAGTTTTATTGAGGAAAATGTAAAACTCTTGTTTTGGATAAAACAGAGTTGAAATGTATGCATAGTGATTTTATAAACACAACCTGTTAGTTAACAGTGTATACAATTCATCTTAACCATACAAGTTAAAACAAAAATAAATCGGTTTCATAATGTGAATATAACTCTCATAATCACATAATTCTATTACCTAAACGTCAAAATATACAAATACTTTAGTTCACAACAATTATATTTTTTATATTACATTATATACATTCCATTGACTAGAATATTAATAATTCATAATATACAACACTTTAAATAACACAACAAAACTTTAATAAATCGGTCTGAAAAATAATACACAGGTCAATAATTCATTCAGTTAGTATTTAAATTTATCGTTAGCAAGAATCATAAATACTTTTACTGGTGCCTTGCCTCCCTCAGTTAATCTTAAAATTAAAACTTTAAGGAAAACAAACCCTACTACTGTTTGTTTTGAGTTTTCAACTTTCTAGCACAAGTTACGAGCGTCATCTGATGTTTTTGAAAAACAAAGAAGGTGCTAGCATTGCAGTAAAATATGGTCGTATAAAATATGTGGATTTGTTTAATCTGTACATTAAGTTCTCAACGAAATGTCTGTAGTTATTATTGTTTCTTAAGGAAATTTATAAAAATTCAGTGTCAAAGTAAAATCATCACAGAGTTAAGTAAAGTTTGCGTGAAACAGTATAATGATATAAAAGATCAACAAACAATACAGTAAAAAAGGTTGGCTTAAATACTTATTAAAAAAAAAGAAAAAAAACTTATTGCACGTTCTACAGCTACATCTTCCAGGTGATGTTTCTAGGAAATGTCCGAGGTCCTTTTCAGAGAGAGGTCTGTCCCCTGTGTCTGGTCCGGGGTGTGGGGGAGAGGGGGTCGAGGAGGGGAACCATCCCCTGGACTACACCCCCTTAGGGATATACTCTCTGGAAATGTAAATTATAATGATTATATATTTACACACACTTTTGAGTCAAAGTAACATCTTTTGTATCACACACAGTGTGGAAATGGTAGTTTACGCAACAATCTCATAAAGATAGTGTTAAAAACACGAGAATACGAGCCTTGGCGAGTGCCTTAAAAATTCTAGGGGTGTCGTAAAGACTGCTTACGCGAGTTTCGTACACTATTTTACCTACGAAAGTGTTTTAATTACTCACTATTCATTACTTCTAAGATGGGTTGTGTTTCGTTATATTTATCATTACCTCTGACAGTGATGCAACGAAGCATTGTACGAAGCACTATTGCACCACTCAACAATTAAATTGGCCTGAACAGCTGATTAGTTGAAATTAGATGCATTACAATTTTACTTATTTTCTCTCAATACTTGAACCTTATTGGTCACTTACCCGTGTTGTTATGTAAAAAAACAATGCTGTTAAGTAAGTAAACATTGATGTTAAGTGAAACTTTTCAATTCTAAGAACTGCACTGAACGGCTAGTTTGAAAAACGGTCGTTGGTAAAATGTATAAGCCGTTACCTAACAAAACTCCAAACAATGTTGACAGTTTAATTTAGTACAGATACAACATACTATTATTACCTGGATGTGAGTGTGCGTGCGTATGTGAGACGGCTGGCTGTGTGTTAGTACACGGACACATTGCCCCACTCTGTGGTGGTAGACTGAAAATGGAGAATATTTTTAAGATTTCACTCTATAGTGAAAGAAAATAAAAAGATAAATACAGGAATGTAAACATGTGTACTCGTTGTTTCATGACATACACAAGATCTCGATAGTGGTAAATAAATATATCTATCTACACACTGTTCTTTGACCTCCAGTGCTTTAACCATAGAGTAAAGCACAACCCTGTTGGTTTAAAGTTTAAATATTATGTAAGGGAAAAGAAATATATACATATATAATATTATTATGCTGTGAGACAGCTCTTTCAATTTTTAGTTTCAATCGCATCAATTAAAAATGTAGAATGCATAGGGTACTTTTTATTGCTGATTTTAGTTTTTTAGTCTAGAATGTAATTTATAGTTTTCAATAAAAAAAATGTACTGTAAAAAAGAGGATGTCTGTCAACCACGTAGACGGTTCTATGAACGGTCGAGTGTTAGAAATGCGCTTCCTGCGATGAGCCTAGGTTTAAAATGATTATGATTTTTGTTGAATAAACACTGATTTCATTTAATCTAATTTCATTAATTTCGTATGCACTGACCTTCTTAAAAACAAATATATTTTACTCTGTTGAAGATTTCTTAAACTTTTTTATTAAGGTTTCAAGATTTAGGTGCCAAGGTGTCACATGTGGCTTAAGTATTAGCATAGACTAAGGAGAGTAGCATTGACTGTAGTAGGAGGTTTAAAACATAAATGCTACACACAACCCTATGTATTATACTGATTGACGTTGCCTATTGCTGTAATAAGTTTAATGGCAATAATACATTCTTATTAAGAAAATCTTTGTTAAATTGATATAGCAATTTATCATTTGGTCAAAATCGCGCATTCAAACTTAGTAACATAAAACCACAGTATAAAGTGTAGACTGCAATTTTCAAGACTGTAAGTCATAGACTATGTCTACAAAGAAGAGTAATTGTCTATCCTTTATTCTGTAATAAAACACACTTTTGTTTTTACAATAGAATGAGAGTTTGACTGACTGTGTCCAATGCCACTTTTTTATATGTATAATAGTGAAAAGAGAGCCGAGGTAGTTCGTTAAGTTTTAATTGACGTTTTTAATGTTTAAATCAGTTAAAGTCTGTTAGTAGTTCAGTTAGGAAGAGATGAAAATATGGCCAGTGACGTGAGAAGGTCCCCACCAAGACTATACCACTTGTTTAATTTCTCCATCGTTTTCTTTCTACCTACTGACCTAAAAGTCAAGAATCGTAATGTTTTAATAAAAAGTGTACATCTAAAATACAGTATAAATGAGTCCTCTAAATGAGTACGCGGTAGGTTCGCCAGTAGTAAGGTATCTAAAAAGCAGCTTTTTTAATTAACTTTTCCATTTATACTTATACATGATGGAAATATCACTTTTACGATAATTTGATCAAGAGCATTTACTTAGGCAATCTAATAGCAAATATAACGAGATATTATTTCACTCTATCGGATAAACCACACGTAACTTTAAAAAAACGTAAAGACGTACGTTAAACTATCCAATTGCCGACTTAAATTTTGGGCATGGGTAGGACGACACACTGAGGGTTTTAGGGAACATTTGAGAAAATTTACTTCTCTTTGAGTTGATAATGAGTGGTAAATATATTTTCTTGTTACTAATTTACAAACACTTTGTTTACTTGCTTCTAGAATCCTGACAACTCATGATAATGAATAATAGATCTCTCCTTCAAACAGTCTCCGCAACCCGCTGAACATGTGAGTTAACTTTGCGTGTTCATTGTTTTGCTGGTGTTAAGCAGCTAGTTACTTATGACGACCTTATTTATATAGCTAGTTAACTTTGGTAAGTTTAAGCATAAAGTTATTTTACGCAACCAAGCTAGTTGATTTAAAGTAGCCTAGTAAAATAAAACCTATAAGCTGTTTAAAGTACTGATTTCTTGTTAGTTTTAGCGAATTTCCCATATAGGGAATAAACTATTACCGTGGTCATGGTAAGACCTGGGAGGTTTTATGGGGTAAAAATAGGGTTTTCCCATTTTTGACCATACAAACATAAGATTTTTCAATTTAAACCATTTTGTAGAGTTTAAAAAAACAATTAATTTAGTATGTTGAAGTGTTATCATGCGTCAAATAGTTACAGAGAAAATTACAAAATATCGTAATTTTAAAATTCTCATATTATTCTTATGGAGAATAAATAAACTGTTGTAGTTTGCCTGTTTATGGATATATTTTGATCACATTTTGAAAATACACTATTACCATTTCACAAAAAAATAGGCAAATGGAAATTCGCTTAGTCTGCATGTTTGCTGCGGCGGGGTTATTTTTGTGTTTTGCAGTTGGACATTTAAGTTTCTTATAATAGCCAAACAATGGTCTAACTTCACGCCAAAATTTCGTTGGATAGCATCAAACGGTGGCCCATTAACATAATGCACTGTCCTGAGGTACAGTACGGTAAGCTAGGAACATACCATGGTTGAGGCGGTGGAGGCGGCATGATGCGGTAGTTGAGTGGCTCTTGGCTGGGGGCGGCGGGCGGAGGCGGCGATAACTTCACACCTCTCCCGTCAGGGGCGCTAGCGTCACTCCCAGGCGGCATGGTGGGACCTCTACCTGGAGCATAAAACTTATTATTTAGACAACAACACCCTACCAACTTTTAAGCTGTATTTCTTAAGGGGCTGTTATGGACTTTCTCGACCACGGTTAGAATAAACAAATTTGTACGAGGTTTAAGGATCTAAAATCGGTTCCATGGTTTTAAATTCTGAAACGTCATGGAAACTTGGCTGATTGTGATTTAAACTATATATGTCCACAAGAAGCCCTTAAATCACATAAGGTTACCATCACCAAAAATACATGTACAATTAGTGTCGGAACTATATTATTGCATATGAATATAAGTCATGTGAAAAGCAGATTTTTGCAGTATAATATGTTTTTATTGTAAACAGTGCAGATATTATCTTTATACGATAATAATATGACCGGAAAGTGTCTTTACTTGTCTTGATCATCGTGTGTTTTTTATGATTCCGTTTCTGAATTTGTATTGTTGACCATAAAGAAATTATGTAAATACACATTCAATCTAATAAATCCGGCAAAGAGATCCTTTGTAATGTTCTGTAATCAGTGATGATAGTTTAACTAAGTCAGTTATTTGAAAAAGCAAAGTAGAAAATACAATTTTCACCACAAAGAAAATGTCAGTGACTGCAGTTTCTAAAAAGAATCAAAGTACAATATAAGATTATTCATTGAGGTTATGTGATTCATGCTATTCGTACATTTGTTCTATATTATGTTATATATTTAATTTTTGCCAACCTTAAAACATTTTAATAACATTTGGTTAAAGAAATACTTACGTTGTTACTTAAATAACAGGTTCATTAATTTTTAAGTAGTTCTTAAGTATTGTTAGGAAATAAGAAAACAAATTTGTTAGGAAATAAGAAAACAAATAAAAAAATCTACTCTTGCAAACTAAGCTCATACACAAGGTATGGATAAAGATTCCAGTAAAACAAAACACTCAGATTTAAAAATAAATATTCGTTTGTTTTAATTAATTTAATTCTCATGTTTCAGCTGATGGAATAACGTAAATAAACATTTAAAGTCTAAACCACTTACAAAATTATATAATAGGCCGTTTTTACGAAATACTACTGAAAAAAAGTGATTTGTATATTTTACCCGTGTAGTGGGTAAAAAAAAACTTTAAAATTACACCACAATTATGAAAATTTTTAAAGAAATAAGAAAGTTATGGTTTGCCGACAAAAAAAAGCACTTTAGAAATTTTAATATATATAGATTGTTCATTGAAAAAGGAATTCCTGAGAAAATATTTTGTACCTAGAAGAAGTGGAGGAGAGGACAGTCCCAGACAGCGGATCCTCCAAGCGTCCTGAAGCAGTTGAAGACGCGCCTGCTTCCTCCACTTGGCCCTTCTGTTCTGGAACCACACCTGGAATACGGGATCAACGCTTTAACAAGTACAGTATAAAAAGAAGTGCATTGTTTAAAGCTCTTATATGGCGAGACTAAGTTATTTAGGAGATTATCACGGACTTATCATATCACGATTAGTAAAAACAATTCACGATGTTACGAGATCAAGAAATCTAATCCCATCTTCTGATGAGAGAGTAACTACTGTAAATTATAACAAGATTAGTTCACAAACCCCACCAAAGCTGTAAAATTACGATAGAAACAACACCAAAAACAACCTGTATTATCTCAATAAAGGGATCATGCAATTAAGTAATTTAAAATGGCATGAGCTACTATTTAACTACTATTAGCTAAATTTAAAGCACATAGAAGGCTGGAAAACTTTTATTGAGTTTCAGTTAAAATTCCTTACAAACTAACCTTCACTCATCAAAATCCAAAATATTACAAGACGATAATTTAGACGCCCGCATCTCCAGATAAAGGGATGATTCCCAAAGTGTTCATAGCTAAAGTAATCAAAACTGGTGTGACCCTTGAGGGGGTTAGGGGTGGTTTGAATTTAATTCCGTCCCAAGCTCCGCCCCTTGAATTGTTCGTGGTGACAGTCTGTTGCCCTAATATGTTTGTAGTATACATTGTGGGGTGTGTACTCGAGCCCCTCGCACCATATGCGGCATTAATACGTTGTAGTTTTTAATCTCGCACTGCGCTTATCATTTTACTTTTGTCTAGTCTTGACTTTAGGTTGATGAGATTATGGATGCTGTTACCCCCCTTGTAATTGAGTACAGGGCAAGAATGTGCCGATCAATTTATGTATAGAGACATCAGGAACTCAAGTTATCACTGCCTGGATTCACTACCGACTGAGCCGTCGACACTCAATCTTGAATATAAAGAAATGCTATTGTAATGGATCTAATGGATTTGCAATAATAGATCTGTAACGGATACCTAGATCCATGTTAAACATACTTCCCGGTACTCATCATTAGTGCTTAAGTGGATCGGCTAATGATAGTTTCAAGATATGTTTCTGCTCTATTTATGTCTAAAGAGTGCGTTGAATGTATCAATGTTTTTATTGGAATTTCACAAGCTTGAAACTGGTTTCAAAGAAAATAATACGATTTAGCCATAGCTTTTCCTCTGGTATGAAAAAATATAGTATAAATATGTTAAATAAAATACTCCCGCCGTAGCAATCCTGCACACTAAGCGAATTTCCATGTACCAGTATTGGATTTTAAATTAAATCTATTTACACAACATTAGTTTAACAAGTACCTAGGTTTGCTGCTACAGAGAGGGTGATAAATAGTTTAGTAAGTATTAATATAAAATTAGTATAAAATAAATAAATTTGTTAAGTTTGATCAAAATATATCCATAAACAAGCAAACTAGAACAGCTTACTTATTCTCCATAAGAGTAACATTTGGATTTTAAATTTACAAATAATTCAATTTTCTCCGTAACCAATAACCACACAAAACACTCCAATATACTAAATTATTTATATTTTTAATTTCTTTGGAATGGTGTGAAGAGAAATTGGTAAATTTTATGTTTTGAGGGTCAAAATGAGAAAGACCAATTTTTACCCCATAAAACCCCCCATAAACACCCTGTTCCCATGGTCTGATCATGCTGCTCATTCAAGTTTATCCAGCTCTACACCTCCACCTTCAAGAAACCCCTTATCTAAATCGGACAAAAATTACACAAGTTATTGTGTTCACGGGAACATATATCTATATACATCAAAATTTGAACGAATCGTGTTTTTGGCCTCTAGGGACATCAAAATGAAAAAGTTTATCGGTTCCAAGCCTAGGACTTACCGTGCCACCTACGGTAATAGCTACTTCCCTATAGAGGGAAATTCGCTAAAAGTGAAGTAAACCCATTCATTTCTTAGACTACAATGAATGACAAACTAATAGACATTCCATCCCCATGTTAAATTTGTAGCCATTTTTTTTTTGTCAAAATCGACGTAGTTGATGTGAGCCACCTACAGATTGCGCTGATCTCAATTACTAAATTCTGCCGAATACACAATCTTTTTAACCAAGTCAAACTTAGGGAATATATGATGAGTTATAGCAACTGTTATGACCCATCAACCTGGTCAGCAACAACAAATAAGGTATTAAATAGAATTTTAGACACTAGATCATTCTGTGACTGGCTCACACAACTACATTCCCGTTTACCTAGTAAAAAATTGGCTACAGCTGGTCCATATAGATGGGATAGTCGAGGCGCTGAGGGGGTTTGAGCATGCATAAAAGTGTAACGAAATTTGACTTTTGATTGTTGCTATGGGTACCTAGTAGATAAAGAAAATCGATGTTGTCACATTTCTAGGTGGTTAATAACATGGGGGGAGGGGGTGAAGTTGGGGAGCCGCCCGGGGGGCCGCCGCGCACAAAATAGCTTATATCTCGTGAACCAAAAGTCATATGAATACGTTAGACACGTCAAACTGTGCAGAAAAATGCATTCTACGAATAGATTATGTAGTAGTTTCACAGAAATTGACAAGAAGTTACTAAAAATTATATTTTTTAAATTTACGATAAGTATAATCAGGAGTATAATGGTTTTTGTTGTTGTTTAGAACCATTAATCTTTTAATTGACAACTTTTGAGAGTAGTACACTATAGGTAAATAGTACTTCTGTATAATGAAACAATTGCGGTAGGGGAAAGTCGGCTAAAATGGGGACTCTAGTGGTTTCCACATTATATTTCGCTTAAAAATATTGCTAAACTTTTGAAATTTAGACAGAACAAGACTACACTAATGTGTTGACAGAAACTGGTAGCTTTTGATCAATTATTCCCTAGATATAACAATAAAATTATATATTTTTTAAATGCATACATTGTCCCCGTTTAAGACGACCTTTCTGGTAAAATGGGGACGCCATAAGAGCACATGCAAAATTGAGTTTTTTTAATGAAAAAGCATTTTTATTGAATACAAAACACATCAAACTCATCATATTACCTCTTAAAGTGACTAAACATGTTAGAAAGATTGTTATAGAAAATAAAAACTAAGAATTTCTCAACTTAATAGATATGTTAACATATTTATGGAGTTGAAGTTTTTTTAATTAAACTTTACCATATAAATATCCTTAAGCATATCAGTTAGAAATTTATAAAACGTATAAAGTAGTAAAACACTGGTTCATGCCAAAAGTGTTAATGTGTATACGTTATTATCCTACAATCTGTCCAAAACGGGGACATTCTTATAAAACGGGGACGTCCCCATTTTGTCCTACCATGAACGTCCCCGTTTGACCCGCCACTGTATTAATAAAACAAACATGGCGTACCTAGCCTCCACTTTGAGATTTTTGGATAGAAGAAACGACAAATTGTAGCCTAATAACTGAAGATAGTGATCAAACACTTACTTTTTTTATCTCTCTATGTTGGGTACGTAAAACACAGTTGCGACACGAACAAAAATCCAAAGAATAAATCGTCAAATATTTAAAAGTGTGCAACATGAAACTTATAGTCAGTATATCAACGGTAACTAGCTCAAAGTAGAGTGAAATGGTTAGTTCGCAATAGTTCGTCAAAGATCAGCTGATAGCAGCAGTAGTTTAGCAGTACCGGAATGTCCCCATATTGCCTAGCGTCCCCATTTTAGACAACTCTCCCCTACATAACTTAACAGCTATTCAATCCTCAGATCCAATAAACATAACACAAACAAAGCGGCCAAAGCGCAACAAGCGCGAGCTGCCGGCGTCAACCGGCAAACAAGTATGAAGAGAACATTCTTATAAGCCGGTTCCGGCAACCGGCTCAGTCCGCGAGTGGTCTCTGTACTGTGCAGTTGGTGGGTGTCATAGCGCGATGGTTGATACAGATGATCCAAAGTTTATCAAAAGAAGGCGATTTGGGATAAACGGGAGAAGTTGCACGATGATGCTTTTAGTTGCGGAAACAAGTGATGGTATTCACCAAGTTTCTTCCTATGTCTATTAATAACATGAACACCGACTTTCCTCCTTTGCAATAATTTAACATGAACACTCTCCGCCAAAAACACATCATCACTAGACGAAGACATCTTTGACACTGCTCAAAGTGAACTGACTTGTCGCGCTTGTTACCAGCTTTCTTTATGTACGGCTTCAAGCTTTTGCCGCGCTTATAAGCACGAGGAGAAAGCTGCCGGTTTGCCGGCGCCGGCAACCGGCGTTCTTTGTGTACGCACCCTAACTATTAATGGCGAGTACAGTTCAAGCTGAGACTTTTATTATACTTTTAGAACGATGGAGATTCTGAGGATTCATTTTCATATATATAAAATAGTATTGAGGGACTATTATGTAGCGAGAAATATAGTTTGTAAAAGAAGAGAGTAAAAAAAAATTGGTATTTGAACGTTTCCATCACCTGACCATGCTGCACAATTGGTGCAACAGCTGTTTCGGCGATCGCGTAAAGGTAGTGTAAACGATACGAGTAGAAAATGTTAAATACAAGCCTTGGCGAGTGCCTTAAAAACTTCTACGAGCGTCGTTAACACTATTTACGCGAGTTGTGTGCATTAATTAACCTGCAACTGTATTTTAATTACCAAAAACCACTACTCAAAACTTAAAAAGAGAGGTTATTTTTTCTTTACCCATCATTGTCTCTGCCAGTAATGCAACGAATCATCGCACCAATCGTTAACAAATAAATTGACCTGAACAGCTGAAGTTATAGTTGAAGTTCGAAGCATTATAATTTTACTTCTTATCTCTCAATCCTTGACCCTATCTGGGTACCAGTGGTGGTTATATTTTGGCCCTTTTGTAGTGGTACCATATAATTCACCAGAGAACAGTTACATGCCCATATAAGTAGACATCTATTATATATTATGTTTCAGTGATAAATGTAGAACATAATAATATAAAAATATATATTTTTCAGCAATGCTTTTAGGCGTAGTAGCAAGAGGTTTGCAAATTTTTGGATTAT